AACTGCGCCATAAAAAATCTCTCTATTTTTCTAGCACATATGTATTCATTCAATTTTCTCTTCAAAAAAAATTTTTTTCCCCAATTTTTTCCAATTTTTTCCCTTGTTTTTTTTTGATTATTTTCTATATTATAATAAATCTAAAAAGCATTTCCCCGTATTTTCCAAACTAATAAAATATGTATTTTTTATTTTTTAGTTATTTTTTTGATGGGTTTTATTGATGACATTGAAGAGAAAAAAATAAAAATAACAGAAAAAAGGAGAAGCTTTTCCTGTTATTTTTTAAAAAATTAATTTTTACACCCACACCAAATTTAAAATAAATTATAGTACCCCAAACATTATTTCCAGCCCTCTATTTTCCCCCTTTCTCTAAAATTTTTTTTCTATGTTAATTTTAAAATAAAAATACCATAATACTCAACAATTACACTAGCTAATTTTAATCAAATTAGCTTAGAAGTCTATATAAAATAAAAAATAAAATAAAATTTTGGAAAAAAATATGTATTAAACAGAGGAAAAAATAAACTTAATAAAATGCAGAAAAACCGGAAATAACCAAAAAACCAAAAAAAACTCAAAAAATTGTTCTTTATTTTTCAAAGAATAAATACCAAAAATGGCCTATAAAACAAATAAGGAAACTCTTAAAATAAGACGAAAAAAGCAGGTGGTACTAAAAAAGGGAAAAAACGAGGAATAGACAAGAATTATAAAAGATGAGTTTAATTAGCATTTTATTGTTGGAATAAAGGAATAATAATATAAAATTAATTAGGTATATATACTTAATTTTAGTTTTTTATGGTGATATAATAATATCAAAGATAAATTTGAATAATTCCCAAATGAATTAATTATAAAAGGGAAGAAGAATTATATATGTAAAAAATTTATAAATGTGACCGGAATTGCCCAAACTAATATATTGAGATCATTAGAGTATACAGTCAAATCTCACTGAAGGATATACACAATATTAGATAACAGGGGAACGTGCCGACAAAAAAATAAGGTCACAAATATAGAATAGATTCGCCAAAAAACGTCGTGACTTCCTGATTTTTGTGAATAAAAAAATCATGTTTACTAATGGATACCAGGGGTGTTCCGAGTTTACAAAATTTAAAGAAATCTTTAAAAGAAGGATATAGATTTTTGGGTAGCTTCGAGCTATACCCTTGACCCTACCCATACGTGACTATAGTCTATCACCAATTTTTGGGAATCTAATCATAACTAAAAAAGTTTAGCCATTATTATAACAAGTAGAATTAACACAAATTAGCTTGTAAAGTGAAGGTGGTAGGATAAAAAAATGCAAGTTATTCATTTTCAAATTAAATATAAACTAAAACGCATTTTTAGCAAGTTTTTTTTTCAAGTTTTCTTAGAAGGAAAAAAATGCTAATTTTTTTATCCATATTTAAATATATTTGGAGGAAGCATTTAAAAAATATATAAATGGAAAAAAATAAAGAACAATTAAAAATAAAAGAATTTCTATATCAGGCTTATATTTTGCTAAAATTAAATGGCAAATTATGCATAGAAGAAACATATCGTGAATAAAAAAAAATAAAAAGAAAAGTTGCAAAAAACTAAAGTTATATTAAAATTAAAAATATTTTTTATTGACAGCCGGTTCCTTAATTTCTTAAATAAAAAGACATTTGATCCCAAAATGAATTTTAGAAATATGACCATACTCTCAATTTAATAACCAGTCCCCAATTTGAATTTTGATCCAATTTACCCCCTTAAAATAAATTTTAAAACATTTGGATTCCCAAAATTGGTAGTAATAGACACTTATAAAGGAGAGGCTTTTGAATGTCCGTGGGACTTCGGGATGAAATTTGGCAGACAGGTAGAATGTATTTTTAAAATCCTAGAATATATTTTTAAAAGATCCTCCAATTTAAAGGACCTTTAATCCCAGAATGAATTTTGGAAAACATGACTATGAATAATTTTGATCTATTTTCCCTTTCATAAAATAATTTTAAAGAATTTGGTTCCTTAAAAATAGTGTTGGTAGACATTTAATCACACTATATACAAAAATATTTAATTAAATTCAAAACGGATTGAGTCATTTTTTTAATATTATGTAATAAACTAATAATAAATTTTCACCATATTTCTCCCCTTTAATTAAACCAAAAAATTATTTTTCCCCTTATTTCCGTCATCAAACGCGTCAATTTTTTTGCAACTTTGCATAAATTAATTAATTGTTTCCTTAAGGGGCTTCCAAAATTATTTTGTTATTACGCATGTTTAGATAACAACCAAAAATGATTTAAAAATTAGTTAAATTATTTAAAGAAATGAAAAAATAAATTTTTTGAAAATATTAAAAATTAAATTATAAATGAAAGAAGGGAAAATGATGATGTCAAAAATTAAAAAAAAGTCAAAAAATTATTTATAGAAAAAAATAAAAATTTCCTTATTTAAAAATTGTTTACTACCACATAGCAATTATTAAAAAATATAAAAAAATTATTTTTAAAAAAACTGACAGAGGATTTAATTAAATGACGAAAAATTGTAAAATTTAAAAGATTATAAAAAGTAAAATATAATTTCTAGGTTGCAAACCAAATTACGTGATTTTAAATTTTTAAATATTATTTAAAATTGAAATACTCCTTTTTTAGTTTTTTAAAATGATAATTTAATAAATTTAAAAAAATTTAAATCACGCAATTAAATTGGGAAAAGTAGTCTTAAAGGTTGTTAAACCCCCTCCCCTCCCCAAGAAGTTCATAAGCCATACGGAAATGAAATTCGTTCATGAACAATTTTTAGAAATTTTGTAAATTTGAAAAATACAAATGAAAAAATGAAAATTGTGTTTTTGCAAGAAAAAAATATTTGAGATAAAAATTATATTGTATTTAGGAAGAAAAAAGAAAGAAACGTTATTTTAAAAAATTAAAAATTTTTCATAGAGAAAGCTTTGATTAAAAAATATAAGAAACAAATTTTTCTTGATTAAAATTTTCAGAAAATTTAAAATTGTGATTTTTCGGAAAAGAAAAAGATGAAGGAATGAAAATGTATTTAAAAATAAATATGATTTTATAAGGTTTCAATTTAATTTTAAAAGTATAATAAAACAAATCTAGACTTAATGACAAATTTAAAAATAAAAATATATCCTATAAAAGATATTAAAGTACACCCACATCCACGAATCCGTGCCTATTTTTGTTATTATTAGAATTATAGTTCAAATGATACGATAAAATATGTAATATTAAGAATATATTAGAAATAAAATAATAAAAATAAAGAAAAAATAAATATCTAAAAAATCAAAATGATGTTAAAAAATTATCGAAAAATAAATATACGATATTTACTCAAATAATTACCCTGGTAAGTATTGCTAAAATTAACAAAATAGAAAATCTCAATTAACAAACAATTTCAATTAACATGACTTGTGGGAGTAATTAATAGAAGAATGTAATTATTTGAGGTTATTTTAAAAAGGCTAATTTACCTATTGTTAAAAGAGTTTTGCGTAAATACGATAAAAATAATGAAATTTAAAGTTAAGCTTATTTTTAAAGTTAAACTAATAATTAAATTGACAAGACAGAAAATTTCAATTAAAAACCTACAAATATTCAAGTACTAACAAAATTAAATGGCTGGGAAAATAGCTTATTTTTTCCAATTTTCTGTCATGTTTTAAATATTATTAAAAAATAAATCCACCTGACGCAATTGTCCGTAAATGACACCAGTATTAAGACACAAATTGTTTGCACAAAATAAATTTTAGTTGATAAATCAGTTCAAATATTGTTGTTAATAAATATTCTTTTAAAAATTTTCCATAAACTAAAAATCTTTTAAAAAAATAAAAATTAAACCATAATGTATTATTTCAAAGTAAATACTGGGGCAATTTAACCACCAAAACACAAATTAATTATTTAAAATGAAAGTTTATTTAATAGTCGGTGCCCTTGGGAAAATGTGCGTGCATATTATTTTTTAAAAATAAAGGGTAAAAAAAGAGAAATTTTCCTTGATTAGAGCAAAATCTCTTTAATTTCCTTTATCTTTAAAATTAAAAAAAAAATTAAAAAATTGTAAATGTAACAAATAAGCAGGTGATATTCTATGGGAAAAGGTGAATGTTTGCGTGTTTTGTTAGACAAAGACGTTATTGACAAAGCACAGGTAAAAATGATACAATTAAATGAAAAGTAAAGGCTTTAATATATAAAATATTTTCCGGAAAAGAAATATAGAAATTATTCCGGTTTCTATAGAAAATAATTTCCGGAAAATAACTATAGAAAATTATTCCGGTTTTTATAGAAAATAAAATCCGGAAAAGATATACAAATTGTTCCGGTTTGTTATGTATAGGGAATATTTTCCGGAACAGTAATAGAAAATAGAATCCGGAAAAGATATACAAATTGTTCCGGTTTTTATAGAAAATAAATTCCGGAAAAAGAAAATATGTAGAAGTATTTTCCGGAAAACAGATATATTTTGACCTTTCCGGAAAATATTAATTAATACTTCATAAAACAATTTCTGAACTTTCCGGAAAACATTTACAAGTGCTTTTATAATAAAAGAAAAAAGCTAGTTATAAACATAAACATGTTGTGAGATTGCATGTATTACGACTCCAATTATTTTTCAATTGTTTGTTTTAAAAGTAAATTACTAGCTTACTTTAAACATTAAAGTTCATTTCTTTTTAAACAAACAAAGAATGTTTCCAATGAATTTTGAATAAACAAAATTTAATTATTAAGTAAAAAGTGTCTAGAAAAAATATTGCAAATTCTCACAACAGGTGAATAATAATTTTAATTAAAAAAACTAATTTTCAGGTAATTTTTTAAAGGTTAAAATTCAGTCAAAAATATTTTCAAAAAAATTAAAAGACTAGGGAAACAAGGAAAATTTGGAAAAAAAATTTTAAAAATTTTTCACGTTAATTTTCAGTCTCATCCAGCCAGTAACAATTCAATAGAATGGAATACATGTAGAGTTGAGTGTTTTGGATTGGAATGTTTTTGACATTTTTGTTGTTCTTTATTTTTTGTTTTTTGAGTAGACTGAGGTGTTGACTGAGGAAAATCTTAAAATTAAAATTTTTAAAAATTATTTTTTAATTTTTATTTATCCCCCAGTCATTGTAAATTTTTTCTAATTTTTATTTTCTCCAACGGCCAAGTGCCTTTTTGATTTATTACATAAAAATTCCCAGATTTCCCCGTGTTTCTAATTTTGTTATTTTTTATATTCCAAACACTTTAGAAAATACATATGGACATAAATAATGTTTTTAGCGGAAGAAAATTGAAAAAAAAATATTGAAAAATGTTTTTAAAGAAAAAAGGACATTTCCGTTTAAAAAGAGTCACTTCTTAATTAAAATTAAAAAAAAATTTAAAACTCACTAGAAGTAGACATTTTGTCCAAAGCTTTATTGTCAGCACATTTCTCAACATTTTCAGAATTTTGATGTTCACCGTCATTTTCTTTGCGTATTTGCCGTTCAATTCTGTCCAGAAAACGTCTCTTCATGTTCAACGAACAGAGTGAACACCTTTAAAAAATTTTCAAAAATTAAAAAAATTGTTTTAAAATACTCACATGCAATCCCGATTTGGGCATTTTTGTTTGTGCCCCTTCTTTGGCTGATTGTATTGACCACTGAAAAAATTTTTTTAATCAATTTAACAAAGAAAAACTGACTGATTCGCGCAAAGTTGACACATATACAAGTCTTTTGGCATTTTTGGAAGAAATAAAAAGTCCAATTTTTAAGGTCAATTCATTTTATTTTATCCACCAAAAAGTGTTGTTTTTTCAGTGTCAATCTGTTGTTGTCTTTTTTCCTCATCTCCGCCCACTTTTGCCAAATTTTTTGCGTCCAAAAGCAATTAAAAAATAAAAGAGAACATCCTAAATTAAAAAAAAAATAATTTAAAACATTTAAAATTAAAATTGAATCCGAGTTCCTTCACAGAAAAGTGAGAGAAAAAAATAAATGGGACCAAATGTCATTTAAATAAAAATAAATAAACATTATGCCAAATAAGAAAAAATCTTTAAAAAATTTTTTCATGAAAAAGTAATCATCCTGTTCCTTGTTTTGCCAAATTATAAAGGAAATCTTTACAAATTTTTAAAATTTTCAGTCGTATAGTACAATGACTTCTTCTAAATTTATTTTTGTTACCCGCGATAACAACGAAATTCAAATTCCACCACAATTTTGCGATAAAATTGCTTTTATTAAAAATTTTGTTGATACTTATGAAAATGTTAAAAGTACATTTAATTAAAATTTTTAATCAATTTTTTATAACTTTAGAAATTCAAATTCCATCAAATGCACCAAAAACGGGGAAAGAACAATTGGAAATAATTATCAAATTTTTGGAGACTTTGGAAGCTAATAAGGCCTTTGATGAGGAATTTGATAAGAGCAATCAACCAGGAGATGAAACGGTTTATTTTTGATTTTTTGGGATTTATTAAGGATGGGGATCTTTGGAGAGTCTGGGTTGAACTAATTTTCGACCCACTGATCCCGATGGTTGCCACTGACTCAATCAACCTAGGCCCATTTCTAGGACACAAAGCCGGGCTGTAACTCCAGAATGTTGATGCTAGGTTCAGGATGCAGGTGGAATCCAGGCCTTGTTCCAGATCAGGAATTGGAAGAAGTGAAAGGCTGAAGAAAATAAGGACGGAAGAACAAGAGGTCCCAGAGACCAACTTGTTTCCTTAGACCCTTCTCCCAAGCTCGCATTAAACTCCTCCACATTTTTTAGAACACCCGAGCTCGATCAAATTCTCTGTCAAACAATTTATGGATAAAGAATTTTTTCGACAAATATCAACGTTCACAACTTTTTGAAGCAATCGAATCTGCAAATTTTTTGGGAGTTGTTGATTTTGTTGATCCTCTAGCTGAATATATTGCTCAAAAAATTACACAAATAAAAAGTACTGAAGAAATGACCGAATTTTTGGGATATCCAATGGAAGAAGAAATGAAAGAATTATTTGAAAAATTTGAAAAAGAAAATGAAAAAGCTCATCAACAACAAAAAGAAAAGGAAGAGAAAGAAGCTTTGAAAATGAAAGAGGAAGAAGAGAAACGATTAAAAGCTGAAGAAGCTTGGTCTGAAGCTTTAAATGAGCCTGATGCTAAAAATGATGATGACGATGATATTGGTTTGCCTTAAAAATTGAGAAGATTTTTGTGTTAAGTTTTGTGGAAAAATATATTTATTTTAAAAAATCCCAGAGATTTAACTATAGAATAGTTGTTCTAGTAATTTATTGAAAGATTTTTGCTTTGAATTCTTTAAAAAAATCAATTTATGATCCGAATCTCGGGGATGTTACTGATTGAAAAAAAAGGACGGGTTGTTGGATTTTCTCAAAATTTCCTTCAGGTTTTGGGTTCGAACAATATCTCTTTTAGTGTCTTTCGTAATTGCCATCATTTTCAATAAAATAAGTTTGAGAACCAAAGGAAAAAACTTGACCACAATTGATTTTTTTCTAACATCGATCACTTTTTTTATCATTTTTGAAAAATATATCATTTTCGTTTTGCTTTATTAAATATTAAAAAAAATATTTTTAATGCAAGTAGAAGCCGGACCTAGACAAGATCTCTAATGGAAATCTCGGTCATCGAAAACGATATTTTCCGAGATCTCGTTTCTCATACAACTAGAGATCGGCCTGGGTCTGGACCAAGGCCTAGGTTTTTCCTGGACTACAGGCCCAGGATACGGCCCAGGTCAATAAATCAAACCCAGGAACAGACCCAGGCTTTTCAAACAACCCTTCCAATCCGGTCTCTATTTTTAAGACGACCTAGTTTGGAACTTGTATAAATATTTAAAAGAAATTGTAAAATTTGTCAACATATAGAAAATTAGTGATACATATAATTTCTTTATAATCACAGGAAGGGGAGGGGGCATCTATAAATAAAAAAACCTTTTTTCACAAAATTGAAAATTAAAAACCCCAAATTGTCACATTATTCTTCTTCAATCTTTTTAAGATTAACCAAACAAAAGTTTTTTGGAACGCTTTGTCCAATAGAACAATTTATTGAATCCACAATTGCGTCAAATGGTGCTCTAAAAAATAAACTTTTTCCAATTTTTAAAATTTAAAAAAACCTAATTAAATATTCCATTTTCATAGCATTCAAGGCTACTAAACTTTGATTTTTTTCTACTTTATCCCCAACATTTACAAGCAATTTTTCAACAATTCCAGGCATTGGAGATTTTGGGTTTCCATCAATTATTGATGTTCCTAAAAATTCTTCCGAGTCAAAAATCTCTTCATCTAAAGAAATAGAATTCCAAGTAGAATGTCCAGAACCAAAAACCTTTAAAAGAAAACAATTTTTCAAAAATTCTTCAAAAAAATAATTAAATTCCTAAAAAATTAAAAAAAAAAAGAATTTTCAAGTAAAATTTCAAAAAATTCGAAAATTTCAAGTAAATTGTCAAAAAAAATTTTTTAGTTAAAAAATTACTTAAGAAAAACTTCCAAAAAACAAAAAATTTCTCAGAAATTTTTACAAAAATTTGTCAAAAAAAAATTAAAAAAAAATAACCGCAATTTTTTCATTCATTTTAACAGCTTTACATTTCCATCTTTTACATCCTTTAGATATCAATTCAATTTTAAATTCAATTCCATTTTTAAAAGTTTTTGAAGTTTTAAATTTATTAATTTCTGAAATTAATATTTCTTCTTCTATCTTTCCACTTTCTTCATTTTCCAAATTTCCTTCAATTTTATATTTATTATTTCCCAAAATTTCAACATTTAATGTTTTGCTGCCTAAATTAATTGTTCTTTTTGCTTTTTGATTAAGGCGAAAATAGGGGAGTAAAAGAAAAGGATTTGAAGTTGTTGAAGAATTTGGTGTCTGAAAAATAAAAAAATTATTTTCTGAGAAATCAGAATTTATCAAAGATTACTGAGGCAGAATTCAATCTGATTTCCATAAAAAAAAATTTACCAGAAAAATCAGAATTTATCAAAAGAAAGATCAGAAGAAAATAAATTCTGGTTTTTCCGGAAAATCAGAATTCTGATTTTATGCAAATCAGAATAAATTCTGATTCAGAATTTTCCGATGAATTCTGATTTTTATAGGAAATCAGAATTTATTTTATACAATGATTTCCTAAAGGATTATTCCCTTCCAAAAAACCAGAATTAAAAATAAAAACCTTACATCCAACAACACAAAAGCAATTGCCGATTCCAAAAGAACATAAAAATCATTTTCCTTCTTCATCGGCATCAATTCATTAATATGTTCAGGTATAAAATCAGTGTATAAATCACCAGACAAGAATTTTTCATGTTTTAAACAACTCCGAACAAATTCAACATTATTAAAAATTCCTCCAATTTGTGTTTGATTTAAAGCATTTTCCAATTTAAAAATTGCTTCTTCTCTCGTTTTTCCTTTTGCAATAATTTTTGCAATCATTGGGTCATAAAAAACAGTCACTTCATCTCCTTGTCTTATGCCAGAGTCAACACGAACATTTTTAGGGAATTGTAGATACTCGAGAGTGCCTGCTGTTGGCATAAAATTTGCGCTACTGTCTTCTGCATAAATTCGGGCCTTAAATTTTTTTGTAAATTTATATAAAAACTAAAAATTAACTTCAATGGCATGGTCAATTAATTTAATTTCTTCTTGTTTCATTGGAAGATGTTCACCAGCAGCTACTCGAAATTGCCATTCTACCAAATCTAGATTGGTGATCGCCTTAAAATAAAATTGAAATTAAAGATTGAAATTTTTAAATTATGAACATGATTTTTGAGGACCTTCACCAGAAACTTGACCTTGAGTCAAGAAAAAGCAAGGTAAAGGAAAAATCAGGAAAATCTGACTCTGATCCAGGAAAATCCAAGGATCCATGCCGAGATCCATGCCGATTTCTAGTTGAGATATTTCTAGATGAGTGCTCGGCCGAACAGACCGTACTGAACAGATTTTGGAAAACTTCGGTACTTTTCAGAACCGGTATTCTTTGGGACTACCAATACGAGAACCGGAAAAGGTCAGTTGCCGAGCACTATTTATAAATATTAAAAAAAAACCTCAGTCACAGGATGTTCTACTTGAAGGCGAGTATTCATTTCCATAAAATAGAATTGCTCGGATTCCGTGTCAAAAATAAATTCAACAGTCCCAGCACCAACATACTTCACTGCGGCCGCGGCGTTTACAGCTGTACGTCCAAGCCAATGACGAGTCTCAAAAGACAAACCGTGAGCAGGCGCTTCCTCAATAATTTTTTGATGTCTACGCTGTTAAAAAATTAAATAAATAAGATTAAAAAAATAACCTTTCATACTTGAATGCTGCAATCTCTTTCCCAAAGATAAACATAATTTCCGTGCATATCACCAAAAATTTGGACCTCCACCTGGAAAAAATTTTTTTAACAAAAATTTTTTTAAATTAAAATCTAACATGTCTAGGCCTAGTAACAAACTTCTCGAAAATCATGTCTGTGTTGCCAAACGATTTTTGAGCTTCAGAACGGGCCGATTCCAACGATTCGAGAAAATCCTTTTCTGACCAGACTATACGCATTCCTTTGCCTCCGCCCTGAAAATTATGTTTAAGAGAGTCTATTTTTAATTAGACTAACCCCACAAACAGCCTTCATCATAACAGGAAAGCCTGCAATCAAATAAAAACTATGAAAAGTAAATAATGGCACTGATGTCGTTTCCCTCCCCCACTCAATTTTATTTAAAAAGTGCATAATGGTAAAACATTTAACCGAAATAAATCCAATCTATTTTCCCTGTAAACCTAAAAAACTAAGTGGGGGAGGGAAACGACATAAGCACCATTGATAAATAAAATTCAAACCTATTTGTTTTGCCTCTTCCAACAAATTTTCTTCCTCTTGATTTGTGCCATTATATCCTTGAATGACCGGAACTCCAGCCTAAAATTTTTTCTATTTTTAAACAAAATTAATTAAATACCTCAATCATTATTTGTTTTGCTTTGTTTTTCATTCCCATATCATATATTGCTGAAGGTGGAGGGCCAATAAAAATAATGTTGTTTGAGGCACAGAGTTGAGCAAAGTGGGAGTTTTCGCTTAGAAATCCATAACCAGGGTGAATTGAATCGGCCTGGGCAAGTTTGGCAATTTCAATAATTTTGTCACTATTAAGGTAGCTTTGTGAGGGAGTTGCTGGGCCAATCCGATAAAAAGAGTCCGCAAGGGAGGCATGCAAAGAATTTGCATCGACGTCGGAATAGACTGCGACAGTCTTGGATTTTTAAGAGATTATAAGGAAATTTTAAAGAGAAACCTCGATTCCCATCATTTTTGCCGTTCGCATGACCTGAATAAACGAAAAATAAAAATTCTTTTGAAAATTCTTACCCTGACAGCAATTTCGCCTCTGTTGGCAATCAAAACTTTTTTGATCCGATTCGAATGTGACTGTCGTATAAAGCACAGATTTGAAGAATTGTTAGAAATTAGACGAAAATTAAGAAGGGAAAGAATGGAATACATTGTAAATCCTGAAAATACAAAAAAAAAAAACGATAAAATTTCAGCTGACTGCATCGAGAAAAATTAAAAATTTTTAAATATTGGCGTTAATAACATAATGCCAAATTTGTGTTCAAAAATATTTTTAAAAGTTTGGCTTCACTTTTTATCGATTTTCTGATTAGATTAGAGTTGTTTTGCTTTTGTGATTGTTTTTATCTGTTTGTTTTTGTTTGGGGGTTTTGTTGTTTTTCGTGTTTTTTCAAGTTTCTTTGTTTGTTTTTCGTTTAATCTCTTTATCTATTATCATTTATCACTTCTATTCTTTTTTTCTTAAGCGCGCGAGGCAAAAAAGCGAAAAAACTAAAAAAATTTTCCAAAATTAGAAATTTTTTTCAACTTTTTTCTTATAGGCTGGCAGACACTCTACATGGTGGTACGTCTTCGGGCTGATTTTTTGTCTGATTTTTCCAAATGTTTTTTTTTCAAGATGTGCAACTGTGGCAACATGGAATGGTCTGGTGGTAGTCTGGTGTGGTTGATTTTTAAAAAAAATTTTAAATAAAATTTTTAATTAAATATTAAATTTTATTTTTGAGATTTGGGGGCTTTCAGCTATGGATGGTGGAAGAACATGCTTTGGATGGTGGAAGAATATGCCTTGGATTGTGGAAGAATATGGTGTGGTGTGGTTTTTAAAAAAATTTTTATAATTAAAAAAAAATTTTAAATTCAATTTTTGATTTTACAAGATTTGGGGGCTTTCAACTGCTGTGTGGTGGAATGGAAGAATATGCTACTGGCTGGTGGAAAGAATATGGTCTGGTGTGGTTCTTTAAAAATTTTTTAATTTTTTAAAAATTTTAATTAAAAAACCAATTTTTTGATTTTTAAAAGATTTGGGGGCTTTCAGCTGCTGGGTGGTGGAAGAATATGCCGTTGAATGGTGGAAGAACATGCTTTTGGTGGTGGAAGCAGATGCTCATTTTGGATGTAAGTTTGTCATGATTTTGAAAAAAAAAAAATGCGAGCTAAAAATTTTTGCGCAATTGCGTCTTTTCTCATCTCATTCTTCTCTCTCCTTTCTTTTCTCTTTTTTCAAATTTAGCAGATCAACCCGTCTTCAATTGTGGTAGGCATGGATGGGATTTTCAACAACACCAGAATATGGACGGCAAGTTTTTTGTGCCATAAAATACGAGAACAGCCCCCTGATTTCCTACGTCGAAAAAGTCGTAGTCGTTTCGAAGACGTGTTTTTGTAATAAATTTTTTTGGCATAATGTATTTTTTTCAAACATTTTCTCTCTCTCCATTGTTTAGGTTTCGTGCCCGCTCAAAACATCAAACGCTTAAAATATCTAGACGACTAAAAACGCTAAAAATATCTAAACGGGTAAAAACGCTCAAAACATCTAGACGACTAAAAAGGCTCAAAATATATTCGCTCAAAACATCAAACGCTCAAAATATCAAAATATATTTTTCATTTAAAGGGGACAGTTGAGTCCGCGGAAAAAAATTTTGCCGCTGCGGAGGAAGCCGGGCATGTCGAGCGGAACGACGGCCGCCGCTTCGCTACGGTCGCCGCGAGCGAAGCGAGCACGACCGCAGCGAAGCACGGCCATCGTGTAGCGAAGACCATGCCCGGCCTACCCTCCGTAGCAGCACAAAAACAGTTTTTCCAGCGAAGATTCAGTTGGTCATAACTTTGTTCACAATCATCCAATCGAGCTGATTTTGGTGTCATTCAACTCAGCTCGTCGAGCCCTTTCTCAACACGTCGAGTTCATGCAAAATTGGTCCTGAGATACTACATTATTCACCCCTGATACAAGGAAGAAATATTGGACTCAACTGTCCCTTTTAATCAAAAAATATTTTGATATTTTGAGCCTTTTTAGCCGTCTAGATATTTTGAGCGTTTGATGTTTTGAGCGAATATATTTTGAGCCTTTTTAGTCGTCTAGATGTTTTGAGCGTTTGCTGTTTTAAAAAAATATGTTTTGTAGGGTAGCCTTTAGGTTTTCTAGAGAAAAAGAGGAAAACGAGAGAAGAGCTAAAAGTCAGACAAGAGAAAATTTTTTCGCTTCTCTTCTTCTTTCCTCCATTTGAGTCGATAATTTACCCATTTCAGTTTTAGTTGCTATTAAAATTTTTTTATTTTATTATGAGTGAGATTGCTGACCATCAATTTGAACCTGCTCCTGTGATTGATACAAATGACAGCGAGTTTAAAACGTTAGTTTTTAAAGCTTTGTTTGGGGATTTCTTGTTAGACAATCTTTCGTGTTGTCACCCCACAAATTTTGTCCTTGTTGAGTGACTCAAATTTGCGAAAAGCTTTGAGTACCTCAAAATTTTTTGGTTTCCATGTTGAGTACTTTGTTGAGTACTTCCATATTCGCTCTAATTATGTTTCCTTCGTCAGACCACCGATGGCTCCATTACAACAGGGATTGCAACAAGACATCACAACGCGACGAAACAGACCCAAGTATCTGTATGAGGGCGCTCTCTACGTTTACCATGGGATGAGCTCTAAAAAGGATGCTAAGTACTGGCGATGTGAATTTTTTAATGCAAGGGATATTAAATGCAGAGGTTTCTTTCTTGTCTTAAATTTAAGTTTCCCTGCTCTAGGACGTCTACACACCGATCTTAATGATGTTGTTATACGCCAAATTGGTGATCATGTTTGCAATCACAATGCTGCACGTGTTGAAGCACAACGAATCTTGTCTGGAATTAAGCGTCGTGCGATGGTCACAACAGAAAAACCTCTTCAAATTCGAAATCAGACGCTTCAGAATACTCCAATGGCTGTGGTTGCTGCAATGCCTAGCAAGGAAGCAACAAAAAGGGTTTATTTTTTAATGATCAAAGCCTCTGATAAACGTCATTTTAAAGATGATTAAACGTGCTCGTCGTGGAATTGATATGAACACATTATTGAATCCTCATGCTTGTCCTATATTTAAACAAGATAATGGCGATCATTATATGCCTGGAAATATGGTTTATACTGAAATTGATGGACAAAGGTTTCTTTTGCCATTTTTATATTATGGGTATAGTTAGAGTTTACTAGTCCCTAAGAAAACGAAAAAAAATACTCAACATAAAAACCGAAAAATTTAACTAAATCTGAGGTATTCAAAGATTCATGCAAATTTGAATTACTCAATAATGACAGATTACCTATCCGCGCAGGTCTACCTTGGTTGAGATTTACCAAACAGAACTCGATTATTCACTGATAAATCTCAAAAATATCTCAAGTTACCTTCCTCATTTTTTGGTGACCAGTAAACTCTACCTTTACCTATAGGATGTTTTAAAATTTATTTTCAGGGTTGAAAGCTTCGAACACATCCCATCTGATTTTACAAAGGGTGACGGAATTGAAGAAAAATGGCCACGAGTCGGAGGAACTTATGGAGGTGGTGGGACTCCACAAATGGGGCCTTCTACTAATCCGCATGGAACAATTGGTGGAGTGGATGGGTACTCGAATAATCGCCAAGAAACTAAAACAGGGGCAGGTCGCCCACGAAAAAAGTATGAAATTTATTTGAATCATATTTTTATTCCTATTTTTTAAGAGTTAAGCAGGAATATCTTTTACCGCCACCACAACCGATAGCGATTTTGGACAGAACACTTCCACATGTTTTTGTCAATAGAAAAACAAATGAATTTAGTTTTAGCTGTAATATTGCTGGGTATACTCCGGAAGAGTTGCAAGTTGAACTTGTTGGTGCTGAGGTTTGGAATTTTTATTTTAAAGGCAACTCGTCTAACAATAAGTTTTTAGTCCTCAAATAATATTCTTTGAATTTCCTAATCTGTCTTTCTTTTTCTGAGTCCCAGATTGCAATTTTTTATTTACAATAATATGGTGTAATGCTAAAACGTTGAAATTGCAAACGTTGTTTACACTGTGTGGAATTTCGCAGGCTTTTGGAAGTTGACATTTTGTCGTTTTGGCCTTTCATACCTTTGAGACCCAGAGGGAGTTTATCAGTGGGTTAGCTATGTGAAGCATTTTTCCCCGTTAGGTTTTTGCATTTAGTAGGAGCGAACTTTTTGTAATTATTGCTGGCTAACTTTATTTATTTTTTAGTTAGTAATTAGCGGAGCTCATAAACAACAAACAATAAATCAATCATTTACTGCATCATTTTCACGACGTATATTACTTCCTGAGGGAGTTCATAAAGAAACTATTCAATGTAGTGTTGATGATAAAGGTTTATTAAATGTTAGTGGGCAATTAATGCATGTTGGGAAACCAAAAACAATTCAACAAGAATTACAACAACAAATGCAACGACAGCAGATACAAGAACAACAACAATTACAAGAGCAGCAGCATTTACACGAAGAACAACAGTTAGAACAGCAACAACAGCCTTCTGCATCGTCTGCTGTTACTGGTGAAATTGATGTTGTTTGAGGGTTTTTTGGAGGTTTTTTTTTAATTTTGATAAGGATGAGAAGGAAAGTGAAGACTAAAAATTTAATATTTTATTATTTTGAGGAAGTTTTTTTGGTTGTATTCTGATTCTGAAAAATTTTAAAAATTTTTCTGATTTTTTTAAAATTTAAGTATATAAAAAGCTTTTTTGGATTATGCCTTAAAATTATTTTTTTTTCAGTTTCCCGAAAACTGTATGAGGCCGTAATACCTAATTCTAAAATACTAAAGCTTCCAAAGGATAGAAATGCAAAAAGTCAGATTGTTAACCACTCTTCACTTGATTTTAACATACCCTAGTTTTCCCATTTTTCCACATTTTTATATTTTGGGAGTTTTTTGGGATGGTATTTTAGCGTTTGGTATTACGAGGTGCTCACCCATACACTAATATTTTATATACTTAAATATTTATTTTTTTCCTTCCTTCAAGTTATTCACACTTTTGACGTTTCAATACTTTTTTTTAAAGTTTTTACTATTTTTAAAAAAATAAACTTTGTAAAATTATTTTGATGATTTCGCTATTGTTTTACTTTTGTTTTTTGTCATTAATTACCTTTTTTAATTTTCTTTTTTCGCTTATTTTTTTAGTCATTTTTTTACAAAAACACTTCAGCAATCATTTCTTCAATTTTCTCTGCTTACTCAAATGACAGACAATTCTGAAGTCAAAAATGAGAAAATGGTTCAGGTTTCTCTGTCTTTGCTCAAAAAATATTAATTTTTAAATTTTTAGCCTGAATATGTGATTGTAGCAAAAAGCCTGGATGAAGAGGCTGAAAGAATTGAATTACCTGCGGATCAGGATGGATCGTTGGGAATCCAAACACTTGCTGGTGCGTTCCCTGGAGCACATGGATTGAAGTACAAGAACCCTGCAACTGGGGCTTTTCGAGCGCTTTTGTAGGAAATTTTTTGATTTTTGAAGACGGTATTTTTTATTTTTTAAGGATTGATCCTGCTGGAACGAAATTTTTTCCACCAGCAGATGGTTGGGAAAATAAAGGTTTTGTTTTATAATACCTTTCATTAATTTCTTTTAATTTCAGTGTTTATTGTCATTTGTAAACAGCAAGATCCAGCACCAGAAAAAGTTCAGCCCAAGAAAGGTATTTTTTAAAGTTTTATTGTGTGTTTCTGATTAGGTTGGTGAATATTCGAGATTTTAAATGTATTATTAACACGTTATTCTATAATTCGCAAAGAAAAACCGTTGTAAATGCGAATTATGTAGAATAGTTATTTTAACGACTTTGAAAACAAATATTTTTTCTGATTTTGTAATTTTTATGTTAACTGTTGTGTTGATTATATGCTGTACTTACATATAAAGTGAATTGCTAAAGAAAAGAACATTCAAAGTAGGCCTCCTGATTCTCAATTCTGTTTTCCTCCACAAGACGCTTTTTATGTAAGCACAGCAATAGAACACTGGACTGTATCTTATCGGTCCGGTTTTTAAGTGTCAATGTTCGTAGAAAGAATGAAAATATTTAAATTATGTCCATCCATTAAATTTTTTTCTGCAACATGACCATAAATGGTAATGATTTTGACTGACAATTCCCAAGAATGTATTTTTGTCAGGTTTTTGTAAAATTTGTTATAGGTGATCAAAACGCAAAGCGTCGGAAATTAATGGTTGAAAGTGATGATGGTGATTCTCATGATAGTGATAGTGATCGTCCACCTGGTGAAAAATTGCGTAATAAAAGTAGTGGTGGAGGTGGTGAAACAGTTAAGCGTCAAATTGGTGTTTCTAAACAAAAACGAATGATGGGAAGTGTTGATAATGGTAGTAGTGGTGGTGGAGGATTAATAAATAAATATGATAATTATCCTGTTGAATATGTTGATGAAATGTGTGAAGAAGAACAAAATGTATTAAATTTTCCAAATAGAATGGTTGATTTACTTGTTCTTGGACTTCCGTTTGAATTGACTGAAGAAGAATTAAAAAAACATTTTGAAACTTTTGGAAAAGTTGTTCATTGTGAGGTCTGAATTTTTTGTTTTTTTCTGCTCGTTTAAGTTTTTTTGCTTCGAAATTTAAAAAAAATGAAAAGGAAAAAATTTTTTCTTTTCAAGGTAAAAATACAAAAAGGATCAAACACGAATCGTGGTTTTGGTTTTGTTCAGATGAATGATTTGGAATCTCAACGAAAAGTTTTACAACAAAAAACACATTATATTGGTGGACGTGCTTGTCAAGTCAAAGTTCCATTTACTAAAGTATATTAAAATTTTATTTTTTTTATAGTTAGGGGTGATATGAGACTCGGTATGAAAATTCCAGACTTTAATTCATACGGTTAAAAAGCCTCTTAAAAGGCCCTGGTTAGGCTGGGGCTAGTTCATTTAGAGTTCATTTTTATGAACTAGACTGGCTCTTTGTAAGCCAGACGGGTAATTGGGTGTTAAAACGGTGCCTCCGTCTAGAATAACAACCGTGGCAAGAGTTTCAAGATTAAAAAAATTTTTTAATTTTAAGAATGCCCTATCTTCCAAAGTATTTGTTGGACGAATTAAAGAAGGAACTACAACAATGGATTTACGTGAATTTTTTGCTGAAGAGGCACGAAAAATTGAACCAGATTCAACTATAACAGATGTTTATATTCCTCGTCCATTTCGTTCTTTTGCTTTTGTCAGTTTTTCATCACCAATTGTGGCAAAGGAATTGATAAAGTTGGTTTAAGGTGTTTTTAAATAGGATGGTTGTCGGCCCTTAGTTGCCCCTCAAATTTCTGCCTTTTCCTCATTTCGGGAAGGGGGACTTTAGCTCCAGAAGCCCCCTGGCTACGCCCTTGCCTTAGAGAACTATTTCGTCGAATACCGTGTCGGGGATCTGAATATGGGACCTAAAAATAAATTATTAAGCGTGGACGGCAAATTGGAGGTTTTGACTTTAAAAATTTTTTATTTTTAAAGGGTTGGACAATTTACTATGGGTGAAAATCAAATTTATGTATCGTCTGCTCATAGTACACGGCCACCAAACACTACACAACAACAACAACTGGTTGACAATTCTTTGTCAAGTTATCAACATCCTTTTAAACCAAATGCACAGGTTTATTTTTCTCTCAATTTCTTTTAAAAAAATTTTTTCAAAGAATTTTTTCACTGATTGGTATGGTTCACATGCAGGAGGAGCACATGGAGGAGATTTAACAGGAACTCCTTCTCTTGCAAGTCAAATTGTTTCATCAGCAAATTTACCACTTTATCCAAGCCATGCTTCAATGTTTACACAAGCATATCAACAACAACCAGTTTTTATTGGTAGTCAAAATGCTCCTCCACATTCTCATCCTCCACCTGGTGTTGCTCCAGGAAATCAAATGTTAAATCAATTGGAGACTTTAAATTTGAATAATATGGGAATTGGACATGAAGTTGTAAATGCTATAAAGGCTATATTTTCGGTTTGTTCTTCTTTGTTGAATTTTTCTTTATTTTTTGGTGGTTAGGGATGGGCCCAGTAGCAGGGTTTAATTGAAGCTGATTTCAAAATTGTCAGACCCGGTATTCCCCAAGAAACCCCGAAAAACCGGATTCCATAAAATATCCGGTTTCCAAACTACCGGAAATTTCGTGCCCAACTCGGTGGTCTATGTTTAAAATTTTTCTTTCAGGTAGCTCAACAACAAAATTCACCAGTTTCTCAACATTCTCAATATGCTGGTCATCAACAACATAAATTAGCTGGTTCAATTTCACCACCACCAGTAAACCCAATTCAATCAAATAGTAGTGGACGTTATATTCCTCCACGTGAGCGTCCAACTCGAAGAGGAAATGAAAATAATGGTAGCGTTGGAAGTGGTGGTGGTGGAGGTGGGAGTATTGGAAGTGGTGGTGGTAGTGGATGGCGATGAGATGGATGAATTTTTTTGGTGTTTGAAAAATTTTGTGGAATTTTTTGGTGATTGTTTTTGTGGTGGTGTTGGTCATCTTTGTGTTTTCTTTTTTTTTATTTTCTAAGGTTTTCAAAAAAATTTTTTTTGAGGTCTTCTGGTTTCTGTGGGTGTGGGATTAAGACATTTTTTCTAAATTAAATTTTCGCTCCTTCCTTCCTTTTCAAAATATTGTAAAGCATGTGGCTAGCTATTTAATTTTTGAGGCTATGCAGAAGGGATGGGATCTCTTCCATCTCCGTCTTTTTGGCCCTTCAGCTTTCATTTTCTGTATTTTCTTCCAACTTACGATTTTTAAAATGCGGTTGGGTCAATCTCTGATATGTAAAAGGTGGTTTGGTGTGGCTATAGGGCAAGGGCGTATCCAGGGGGTCGGTTTCGGGGGGGGCTAACACTAGGTGGGCGCAAAAATTTTTGGCGTTTACCTTGGCGTTCCTACGGCAAATTTTTTTGTACATACCTTTTTATATTTTCAGCGCCGCAGGCGAAAATTTTTTTTAATTTAGATGGCCGTAGGCCAAAAAAATTCAGTTTTTAGCGCCGCAGGCGAAAATTTTGAGGATTTTGGAGCTCAAGAAGCCAGATTTCTTCCTTTTTAGCGCCGCAGGCGAAAATTTTTTTAAATTTGAAGGCCGTAGACCAAAAAATTTCACTTTTTCAGCGCCGCAGGCGAAATTTTTTTGGAATTTGGAGCCCAAGGAGCCAGATTTCTTCCTTTTTAGCGCCGCAGGCGAAAATTTTTTGAATTTGGAGGGCCGTAGGCCAAAAAAGTTCACTTTTTAGCGCCGCAGGTGAAAATTTTTTGGAATTTGGAGCCCAAGAAGCCAGATTTCTTCCATTTTTTGCGCCGCAGGCGAAAATTTTTTAAAATTTGAGGGTTGTAGGCGAAAAAATTTCACTTTTTCGACCATCCTTCTCCTAATTTTTTCCCCCTTTCCCCCATTTCGGGGGGGGGGGGGGGCTCTAGCCCCCCCTGGATACGCCCTTGCTATAGGGGATTTTTAGAGTGTCCGGTCAACTGAAAACGAGCTGAAGAAAAAATAGCTAGCTAGGTTCAGTTTTTTCTGTATTGTTCCTTGTCTATTTTCCTTAGGACTTGTTTTATTTAAAAATATATTAATATTTTTTTCTAAAAAATGTTTTTTTCTTGCTTTTTATTAAAAACTTGGAAAAAAAATTTTAAATATAAATTTTTATTTTTTTGATATATAGCGTTTTTAACGCTTTATTCATTTTGAAAAAGTTTTTAATATAAAATTTCTATTTTTTAGATTAGGTACTTAATTATGTGCAAGAATAATGGATAGAATATATACTACTACTGCTAATTTTTAAAGAATCTCAATTAAAATAAAAAAAATTATTTTTAAATGATGTTGTCTTCTTTTGGCTTTAATCAACCATTTTTCTTAACTTTGATCATGTTTGTTTGTTTTTTTTTGGGTTGGGGATTTAATTTTGGATTGTGGGGATGTTGGGAATTTTTTAAGAGATTGATCTACTTAGGTAGCTAAAATCCAGAGATCCTGCCAGCAAATCTTTCAAGGAGAGTGGGGTTTAATGAGGCCCGACCATGGATGTAGTCAGGAAGATTTTTCGGAGAGAGGGGATTCCTATATAAAGCTCGAAAAGTGACAATGACTCTGCTGCCCTATTCTTCCTTAAAAAATTTGGAAACTTATTTTTCAGTATTTTTCTTGTACTTCTACTTACACTATTTCTAGTCAGTTATGATAAAATGGAGGATGAAGATTATTGTGAAGATGATCTGGTAGAATATCCACAGACTGTTCTCTATAATAATAGGGCAGGAAAAAGGCGTGTAAGTTTCTTTTAAATTCTAGCCTAATTGTAAGAAAAAATTTTTCCATTGTTAGAATCAAATTGTTCGACAAAATTCTGGTGAGCAACTAATAATTGCTTCATCATCAAATTTTGATGGTGTAACAATATGTTAAGGAAGAGAAAAATTTTTTAATTAATACTTTCGAGTGGTTTTTTTTAAATGATCTCACGTTTTTTACCAAAAGAAAATTTTTTTAAAGGGCAATAAAATTTAAAAGATAAGACTTTATTTTAGAAAACTTGATTAACCTAATATCATGTACTAGCCCTATGTCACATAGTTGAGGTTTCTAAGGCTGAGGGCGATTTTTTATGAACTGGTTGGTCGACTGACTTGGTCGGTAGCCGAAAAGTCTTGGTCTGTCACATAGTTGAGGTATTTTTAAACTTGGAAGGAGTCTAGTAGAAATCAAGATTAAAAGAAATTCTGGGAAGAGATCTGAACTAGCTTTCGAATTCACTGAACAGGAAATAAGAGAGGTTTCTGAAAAAAAAACCCATCCACAAAGGATTTTTGTTAAAAATATTTAGCTTTGACTAACAACAAACTTTCAAAAAAATATTTACTACCAAAAAATAAATCTAACAAAAAAACCTTTTCAAACTTTTCAACAAAGAATTTTTCAAGAAACATTTTTCTCCCTCTTTGCTTTTTGTTTTCCTTCTCCAATTTTTGGATGAACTATTTTTCCTTTAGCCAAACGAATTTCATTCTTTAGAAAAAATTTTTGAAAAATTTTTATGAAAAAATTCCAAACCTGGACTTCTCTCCAAACAACATGTTCATCAAAATAAACACCGTGTAATTTAAGCATTTTAGTTAAGTAATGAAACATTGGCAAATTTGGATAATATTCTGGGCTATAAACTTCTTGTTGCTCCTGAATAGAGAAGAAATTTTAGATTTCTGTGTAAAGATTTAACAGAAATGGACTTTAAGAAAAGTGGGCATGGACTAATTTTTTGAATCCACGGAGACAATGAGTCAGATTCTGAGTTTGTAGTCCAAGAAAATTCAGGCCAAAGACAAGCCTAGATAGCTAAAATGCTCGTGTCTCTGGGTATAAGAAGGGCCATGAAAATTACATTGGCCTAGACGCAGCACGAACTATTGCAATGTTAATTAAAAGAATTAGAATATTGGAAAGTGGGCTTGTGAATTAATTTTCGAAATTTACTGATGACATATGTCTAAAGGAAAAGATCCTAAAGGAAAGAGACCCTTATCTTTTAAAAAATTTTGAAAAAATATACCCATGGTTCATTTTTCATAATTTCATTAGCAATTCGAATTGATTTTATGTCAGTTGGACGTGTGACCTTAAAAAATAAATTAAATATAAAAATTTTAAAAATTAAAAAAACCTCTCCAAAAATTTTATTTGAAAGTCTTTGCATTCTTTTCCCATATTTTGAATCAACATCCAAAATTCTTGAAGGTTTTGGTATTACCATTGTATCATAACTTTTAAAGCTTTTGTAAACAGATTTACGAATATGAACAGATAAGGGTCTTGACATTTTTTGTGTGCTTAATAAAGATTTTTATTAAAGACCATTTTAGTTTTTTTGGGGGGTCAACTTGGGATTTAAAATGCAGAAATAGCTGGTAAAATCGAGAGAAAAAGCCTATCGACAAAGAAAAGGCGAGATAGTGCGATAAAAATGGTTAGAGAATCAGACAAGAATTTTTAACTTTTCGACATTTCAAATTGGTAAAATTCCAATACCTCAAACATGTTTGGTCAAAGTTTAACTTTTATCCGCTTTTCTTTCCTTTTTAAGTTAGTCGGCAATAATTTTTTTAATTCCTTGTTAGATTTTAATATTTTTCGATCAAAAAGATATTCCAATGGCATCAAATTTTACACGAAAATTACTCAACTTCTATACCAAAATTACCCCTACTCGTGTGGAAACGTGTGCTAATTTGGTCTGCAGCTCTATTTATGGTGATGCTGTTCAAACTGCAATTTTGTCTGGCGATAAATTGAAAAGTGTTAAGGTATTGTTCTTTTTGTTTTTTATCACTCAAATTCTAATTTTGTTTTTTTCTATTTTAGGAGGAAGAGTCAATTAAAAAGCTTGAACGTCTTTCGTCACTAAAAATGACTTCAAAAGATGTTAAAAATTTGGAAGAGGATATTTTATTTTCTCAAAGGATTTTGGACGTTAACACTGAAGTAAAGTTTTCCTCCGTATAAAAAAATTTCTTCATCTTTTTTAGAATGTGGAGCCATTATATAATATCGTAGAAGATCATATTACGTGCCCTTTGCGTGATGATATTGTTTGTGAAAACGAATCGAGGGAAAAGGTTTTTTTCGTTTCTTTAATTTTTCGATTTTTTTAAAGGTTTTGATGAATACCAAGAATGTTTATGAAGGATTTTTTACTGCTCCAAGTGTTGGTATTGTTACAAAAAAGGAAAAGAATGTTGTAGAAATGTGAAGAAATCAATGTTTTTTTTGTTCTTTTTAAATTTATTTTTGGTGTAAAAAATATTTTTAGCTAGTTTCTTGTAATCATGTTGAAATTCATTTCTCATACCTATTTTTTTATTTTTGAATTTTTTTCATTTTATGATTAACAGAAGAGAATGTCTTCGAATCTTGAAAATCCACATGCAACGACAATATATTATTTAAATCGACCGCAAAGAATTATTCAACCAGAGAAACAACAAAATAATAATGTTTTTATTGTACATCAACAACAACCGCCTCAACAACAAAATGTGCAGCAAAATCTTCATTTTAATCAAAATCTTCCACCATTTTCAAGTGTTTCAATGCCTTCAACAACAACAATTATAAGAGGTAGTCGATCATCTACACAATCTCCACAAATTGTTTCTTCTTCAGCTTCACGTTCTTCAGCATCTCCAGCATTAATGTCTTCGTCAGTTGATGCAATTACTGCACCTACAGAACAGGTTTCTTTTTGAAATTTTTATCTGATTAAGTTGAGACTTTTTAGGACATTATGAAATGTGCACACTTCTTCAAATCTTTGTTAAAGATGAGGCCGCATCAATCATTTAATTTGTTGGACATGAAAAATTTGCTTCGGGTAATATTTTCTTAGAAAATTTTCTGGGACTATTTCGTGGGATATTTTATGCGTGCAACCGGACGCCCTAGGATTTTTTATTGCTCTGGGACGTCCGTCAGTTAGAACGGCCTAAATATAATTTCAAACGAAAAGTAATCCTTTGGGCGAGAAATTAGTTTTATCCTATTAAATGACATTTTTGACAGGATGTCCTTCTTGGAGAACAATCACCAGAAGAATTTACAGTTAAATTAAGAGAAGTAACAAAATCTCAAGATAAAGGAAATTTACTTCCATTTCTTCGACGCTCACTTCCTTCACTTCGCCGTTCTATACAAAATGGACAACATTTAGATTTGAGACAAGCACTTGATATTGATGAATCTTGTTCTAGTAGCACACCGGTTTTTTTAATTTTTAAATAGGAAAAAAATTTTTTTAAGCAATTACCTCAACAATCTGATGAATTTACTACTTTTTCTTCACAACAACAATCTCAAAATAATCAACAACAGAATTTTCAAATTTATGGGAAAAGTCCAAAAACAGAAAATTATTCTCCAGCAAATTTGGCACCAACAACAGCTCATTCAATGCCAAAAAGTGTAGAAAACATTCAACAAAATTCTCTAGATAATTACAAATTTGTTCGATCAAATGAAATGAAATATGAGGTTTTCTTTTAAAAAATTTTTTGTCCGGGTTTTCGAACCCGGTCCGTGGCCCGAGTTAAGGATTGGAGAGCTGTGATTTTCCGGCCCTTGTAGCCCATAAACCGGGGGTATTTTGGTAAAATGTGTGTTCTTTAGGTCTTAACATTGAAACGCGATCCGGATCGTTGAAGGATAAACCTGAATATCAAGGGCGTGTCCAGGGGTTCTTGCTGAATAATTTGAAAATGTTGAACTTTGATCTAATATAATTCAATTTTAAAGGTTTCAACATTTAAAAAGGAAGAATCAAATACAATAGCTGAAAAAGGAAATGTTGGAATGGATCCTTCCGCTTCTTCACTATTTGATGATAATACGGATAATTTAAATGTATGTCAAGGGGGAAAAATTTTTCATAAAAAGTTTTTAAAGAATTTACCCAAAATGCTCTTGAACCCACAAGCTTTGGCTGATAGAATTTTGTTGCGTATGCCAGATGCTGAAGGTGTTGATGGTGAAGTGCTTTCAGTTATTTCAAATGTTTGTAAAAAAATTTTTTAAATGATAAAATGAGTTCAAAAAAATTTTTTAGGCAGCAGAAGCTCGTCTCTGTACAATTCTTGCTCATTTATCTACTTTAGCTGAACATCGATTAGAACCTTTACGTGCTAATCCTCTTTATACTTCAATTGATGAACCTAGAAAACAAATTCGTTTTATGGAAGATATTGGTTTGAATGAATATTTTTTGATTAAAAATTGATTTTTTTAGATAAACGTGCCCATAATCATAGACAAACAGCAGAAAAGGAAGCTCTTTTAAAAATTACTAAAAGTAAAGGAAAAGATAAGGATGCGTTAGAAAAAGCAAAACAGGTTTTTTTCTTGACTTAATTTAATTTTTAAAAATTTTTTCAAAAAAGATTCAAAAAGCTGATAGAGAAGCAATGGTTAATCGTGAAGCTAATGCTGCAGCTTTTGCAGCACTTGGTGGAAGTCGAATTGGAGCAAAAAGGCCTTTTGCTGCTCCAACGTTGGGTGGAACTGTTGATTGGAAAAGTGGAATGCAAAATCAAGGATTAACTAGTGGATTGACTGGAGCTGCGGTTTGATTTACATATTTCTTTTTTTTGTAACTGTGTTGGCTTAAGTTAAACGTAGGGGTGCGTTTGGAGCCAGACCTTGTTTTTTCCTGGATCCAGAGTCGATACCAAGGCATTTTTCAGTGTTCCTTGATTTTTCCTTTTCCTTGCTTCTTCCTTGACTCAAGGACAAAAATCTTGTCAAGGTCCTCAACCAAAATTTTTTAATTTCCAATCTCTAGGCATAATGAACTTTCTGGCTTTTAATTATCTCCCTTTCTATGGTTATCCAAATTTAACCGAAATTATTTTTTTAAGAAAATTGCTCGTCTTAAACGTGTTACAATGCGTGATTTACAATTTTTTCTTGGTATTGATCCATCAATTCCAAGTAATTCAAGACTTCGTCATCGTATTGCTTTATATTCACTCTGTGCTGATGAAAATACTTTAATTTAATTATTATTAGGATGTGTCTTTTAGGGTGTTTATTAGCTAAAAAGTTGGATCATCCCTTGACTAATGTGTGAATCATTTATAATATGAATGTATATTTATTTTTTCCCCCAATTTTATTTTTTTATATATTTTTCTTCCTCTCTCTCCTTCCCCTTCTCCACTGTAAAATAATTATTTTTTTACATAAACTTTTGAATAAAGTTTTTTTTAATTTACATATTGGAATTTTTTCCCCTTTTAAAGGGTGTTTATAACCCTTTTTAATATTTATTTTTGAATTTAATCTAATCACTAGAGGGTAGATTTTTTATTGAAATAAATTACTGAAACGCCCGTCGACTGACCGATGTCTGTCCATGTTTTTACATATCACACATGTCTTTTATGTCTTTTAGCTATTTTAGACACTGTTCACGATCAGTCAGCAAAGCTGTTTTTAATGGTTAGGGTTACTAGCAGTAATTTATTTCAATAAAAATTTGCCTTCTACTTAACACTAATTTTTTTAATAATTATTTTTTAGCTTATTTGGAATAACATTTCTATTAAATTTTTGATTTTTACAAAAAAAAATGTCAAGTGGATTTATTCTTGCAGCAATGGGTTTAGCAGCTGCTGGTTATGGTGGACGTTATCTTTTAAGAAATAAACAAAATTTAACAAAAATTTATGGAATTTTACCAAAAACTTCAATGGAAGATTTATTTTTTTCAAAATATGAAAAAGGAGGTTTTGAACAAAAAATGTCGAGAACTGAAGCAGCAAAAATTCTTGGTGTTAGACCTTCGGCGAAAATTGATAAAATTAAATTGGCTTACAAAAAAGTTATGATTGCTAATCATCCTGGTAAGTAAAAATTTTTTTTAATTTAAATAAATTTTAAAAAATTTCGGAATTTTTTTCGTAGCTTTTTTCGAAAAATTATTTTGAGTTCTATGAAATTTTTGTGTATTTTTTTATAATCCCTATTATTACACCCCTTTACTCGTAGGCTAGGGATTTCGGAAAAAAATTTTTTTTAACTTAAAAATAAATTTAGAAAGAAAATTTATTTTTTAGATAGAGGTGGCTCCCCTTATTTGGCTTTAAAAATAAATGAAGCAAAAGATTTGTTAGAAGAACAACGACATTAAAAAAGAATTGAATTATTTTTCTGTTTATTTTTAAAATTTTTTAAATAAATTTTTAAATTTATGACTTTACTTTTTAGAATACATTTAAAAAAATGTTTAAATATTTAATTAATAATCAATTTTTTGCAGGATTTATTTTAAAAAGATTTTAGAAAAATTTTTTAGTGTGCCTTTTCCAAAGAAATGAATTTACAACAAATATTTATTCTACTTGTTCTTTGTCTTTCAATAAAATTTTGTTGGTGCTTTGAATATGATAATAATAATGATGAGCAACTTGGAGATTTTGAAATTGGAGAAGCTTTTGATGAAGATATTGAAACATTCGATAATTTACATGATGTGAAGGTTTTTTTAAAATTCTATTTTGTTTTTAAGCATTTATTGAAATAGGGCGAAGATACTCTCAAAGATGATATTTTACAAGATTATCAAAATTTGGACGTTGGAAAACGAAATTTTAATTCTGATGTTACTCTTGGCTATGTGACTCCGGTTTGTTAAAATTTTTTAAGATTAAAGAGGATAAATGTGATCGAGTATCCTTCCCCCACTAGACATCCAAATTTTACATTTTTTCCCATTCTGTGGACATCATCCACCCAATTGTCAGTTTAAATTTTGTGAAATTTTATCGAAGTCGACAGTGTTTATCACTTTACAACAAGATGGATGAGAACCACTATTTACTAATGGGTGAAGGCCTAACATTTTTTATATTCTTTCTATCGTCTTGCCAACCTATACCTAAAAGTCAACCAGAATTTAAAAAATGTATCTGAGGTGCGATGAGTTCCTCTTTATTTTCTATTCATTTTAACAAATTTTTAAAAATAAAAAAAAATTTTTAAAGTGGAATAATCATGGTTATGATGTTGCAAAATGGGCAGCGCAAAAATTTACACATATTTCACCTGTTTGGTTTCAATTAAAAAGTGCTGGAAGTCCTATAGAAGATGCTCCTTTATTTTGTCAAATAACTGGGACACATGATATTGATTCAGGTTTTTTTTAAATTTTTGGAAAAAATTTAATTCTTTATTAAAGGTTGGATGGATGACATTCGCAAAAATAATTCAAAAGTAAAAATTGTTCCCCGTTTTTTATTTGAAGCTTGGCCTGTAGAAGATTTGAAAAAATTTCTTTATAGTGAAGAAGTACAAAGAAGATGTGTTAAAGATATTATTAGATTACTTCAGGTTATTTTATTGATTTTCTAGTTTCGGTGGTAGATTAGTTAGGAGTTTTTGGGTTTGCTTGGTTCGATGCCTGTTACTTGAGAAATAGTATAATTAGTAGGTTTGTGCTTATTTATCGATTGTTGTGATGGTTGAATGGTAGTGTGTGTTTTCGGGTTATCAATTTTCGTGGAGGGTTTGTTAGGTTCGATGCCTTACGTTTGACGCCCTTCAGGTTTTTTTAATCAATTTAATTTCTTAATTTTTTAACCATAAAAATATTTTTTAGAGAAATCAAATGGATGGTGCAGTAATTGAAATTTGGGTTCAAATAATGTCAATGACAAGAGGTTCTGCTGTTGAGTGGGTAAATTTAATTTTAAATTTTTTTAATATTCCTAAATTATTTTCTCAAAAAATATTTTTTTTTCTAGATATTTATTGGAAATTATTGAATCTTGGTCAAAAGAATTTCATAAATATGGACTTGAATTTATTCTTCCAATGATGCCTGCACTTGATGCAAAGTAAGGAAAAGATTTTTTGAAATTGAAAATTTTTTTTTCAAGTTATGAAGAAACAGGAATTGTTAACAGAGAAGTTATGAGACGATTAATGTCAAGTGTTGATTATTTAAATGTTATGACTTATGATTATAATAGTCCACAGTTTGTTTTTATTTAAAATTTTTTTTGAAAATTTCTTAATAAAAATTTTATATTTTGCAGAATTTCTGGTGTCGCACCATATGACTGGGTCAAAGCGAATCTTCAATATTTTATTGATTCTTCAGAAGATTATCTTGAAAGCTCAACAAAAATATTAATGGGTTTAAATTTTTATGGTTATGATAGATCTGGTAGTTCAAGTGAAGCTGTGCTTTCTAAAAAGTTTATTTTATTTTGAAATTATTTTTAATATAAGACGGGACCAGTAGTAGCCACATTGCGTTATGCATTTTTGGAGATTGTCTCTTGCGCCCGCCCCTGGCCGGTATTTGGATTTTCGGTGCTGGTAATTCGAACCGGGTATTTTGTAAAAAATTTTGGGTTTAGTTCAAGTGAAGCTGTTCTTTCCGGAACCGAAACCCCGTCCCGAATCCTTTTGAAAGTGAACCTAACAAATTTGAAAATGTCTAATTATAATTTTTTTAATTTTTAAAGATTTATTGAAATACTTTCTGATGGAGATTCTGTTCTTTCTTTTGATGAAAATGATGGTGAACATAAACTTATTTTTGGGTATTTTTCTGAATTTTTTTTTTATAATTAATTTTGAAAAATTTTCTTTAAAAAGAAAATATGGCATTATTTATTATCCAACAAAACAGTCAATTAAATTACGTTTAAATTTGGCAATAGAATTGGGAATTGGTGGTGTTGCAATATGGGATTTGGGACAGGTGGGGAAAATTTAATTTTTTTTTACAATTTTGAAAATTTTTTAAAAATTAAATAATTCCTATGTCAATTTTTACAGGGACTTAATCATTTTACTTCTGTGCTTTAAAAATGAGAAAATTTTTGGACTTAAATTTTAATTTTCTGTGATTTTTGATTTTATTAAATTGTTAAGAAATTATTGTTTAAAGAACTTCTGGAAGTAGAAATTATTTAATTTTTAAAAAATATTTTTAAAATTGTTTCTTTTAAATATTAAAAATTTTATTACCTTTTTTTAACGTTAATTTAATTGGGGCAAATTTATATTTGTTATATTATATTTAAAATTTTAAGAATCTTTCTCTTTTTTTAGGGATTTGTAGAGCTAGTTAATTTTTCTATTATTGGATTTTTATTTTTATCCTAGGACTTTGCTTAATATTTTTTTCTAAAACCAGTTTATTTTCTCTTTCTTTTATTTTTTTAAATTTTTATGGGTGGTTCAATTACCTTTTCCTAATTTAAAAGATGTTTATTTATATTTTAATTACAAAAATATCTCTTTATTTTTAACTATTTTTGTTGGATATATAGGATATATAAGGTGAATGAATGGCCTTTTACTTTCACTTGGCTTGTGTGTTGCGCGACTTCTCTGTTTTAATTTTTTATTGCGCTAACATGGGGAATTGCGCGACGCAATATATCCCTTAGTCTCTTTTTCTTCTCGCGCTTTTCTGTGATTTTTATTATGTAAAGTTCTTTTTGGAAGATATTCTCATTCATTCATGGGTGTGTTCTTCTTTTTTAACTTTTTTTAAATTTATTTTTTCATGTTTATCTCTTTATTGTTTTTTTCTGAAATTTTTTTCTTTGTTTTTCTTAACCTTGGAGGATTTTTGAACGGGTTTTGACCTTGATATATTTATATACGCTAATTTGTTTGTTTTTTTTCCAAATTTATTTTTTACAAAAAGATTAAACATTCTTTTGGATATAAATATAAAAATAAGGCAAAAAATTTGAACAATCAGAGACCTCGCTTTAAGATTATTGTTAAGCCTATCAATTTAAGATACAATTTTTAAAAGTTTGTTTGGCAATTAAGTGAGGTGGGAAGTATTACCTTCAATTTAAGATACACCTCATTATAAGATAGGTTTCTGTTTAGCTATGGGTAGAATTTAGCCTCAGGGGATGTAAAAATATGGTTGGCCATTAAGTGAGTAGGAGGGAGGGGGGCTCAAAACGATATCCGCTATTTAAACGTCCCATTATATCATACGATTTTTCAGCTTTAAGAGATCTTATAATGGCATCGACCTTAATTTTGTCCTTAAAAGATTAGTTAAACATTTACCTTTCCTTTTAAGAAAATTAATAAATCATATTAACCTAATAAAACTAGCTTTTCCTTTCTCTTATTCCTTTTCCTTATATTCTCTTTTTTTACTACATATATCCCTTTTATTAAAAACATTTTTCTTACAGCCTTTTAAGCCTTTTTATTTTTTATTATGCGCAAAAAATGGGATTTTGGTCATATATTAAAGCGCAGTTTTTGGATTTATATTTGTATGCATATCTCTTTATGTTGCACAAGCGGATGAATGTGAATAAAATAGATTAATGTCCCCAACCTTTAATGTATTCTGGTTAAAAAGCTGAGGCTCTATTACACAATGTTAATGCACAAACATAGAAATATTAGAATGGGAGAGATAAAGACTTGTGCAGCAAAAAGGGATTTCATTTATACACACCTACTAGTATGTCCAAGTTTTAGTTTCTCAGTTAGTGGGTTAAATGTCGGACTCTAGTCACAAATATGACACGTCATATCTGAGATATGATCTAATTTGCAGAGGCCCCTGAACTTTGCTAAAAAAAATTGAATAAAAATCCGTGTAAGGCTAGGTATGCAACACCTTCTTTCTTATTTTTGGCGCACAATCAATGTTAATTAGAGGATTTCTCATTAAACCTAGGAAGCAAAATTTAAAGAAAAATCCGTATTGGGGCTGAATTAATCAACCTTGTTTTTTTACTTGGCAAATAAATAAAAAAAGTGCAAATGATGTAATATGCGTGACCACTCACCTGGAATTTTTGTGAACTATTGCACCTGTTTCTCATCTATAGTAGAAGATATATCCCTTTTCATTTAAATTACTTAAATCTCTACCTATTTTCTTTTTATTTTTAAATAAAGCAGCGCGCTATATTAAAGCTTTATTTTCTCCCCATCTACGCACGCACGCTTTTATGGGATTTATCTACATATATTCTCTCCAAACAAAAGCTATATAGCCTTTTCAAAACTACTTTTTCTTCTTCTACTATTTTTGTTGGCTTAAGAGCTTTAGCCAAAATCCATCTTTCTATTTATCTGAAAGCTTTTTTGGGGTGGGGAGGGAAAACTTTTGTGTTGTCTTTGGGCCTCAGATTTTTATTTATTTGAATCAGAAAAATATTCAATTTTTATTATTTGTTGTTTTGATTCATTTTTATTTATTTATTTATGTTGTTGTTGTTCTTGACTTGCTAACCTTCTCTGAAAATTTTTTAGATTTGGGCATGTTGATTAAACAATTTTTAAATTTTTTCGTATTTCTTTTTTTACCTTATTTCGAATTTTTCAAAATTCCAAGTCCTCACTATTTTTTGTCGTTGTTTTTTTTAATTTCTAATGATTCACTTCCAAACACTCTACTGGATTTTCTCTCTCTTTCCATTTTTAAGGATTTTTTGCCATTACGCAAATCCCAATCCTTCCCTCCTTCTTTTAATTTTTTCCTTTTAAAACCTTTCCATCTAACAATCTTCAACAACAACTTCATCATCCCATCAAAAAAAGAAGGATATCTTTCCATTATTCACTTTCATAAAAACATTTTCTCACATACCACTACTTTTCTTCTATTTCACAAATGAATTCTCTAGTTGAGAGACTTTTAAAGGATTTGGATATTTATTTATTTAGTGGATAACTCTTAGTATGCCATTATTTGTGGATTTTGTTTAATCCTGTCTTTCCATTTTTTATATCTACATATTTTTAGAAGGGTTTCTAATATGTAGAGTGGTTGTCGGTTTGGAACTGAGTCGAGAATTTCTTGGTTCTTTTTTTTCAGTTCGGTTCCGGATATCTGTAAGTTTTCCAAGAACTTTTCAAAAATTTCCAAGAAAATTTTTTTATTAGAAGCCCACGATGTTTATTTTAAACACCCATTTTTATCGACCCCTGATTATTAAACCAGAAACCTTAGAAAATTGTTTAAGACATTCAACTTTATTTTAAAAAATTTTCCAAATTATCTATATCTTTTAACAAAATCAGCATTAAGAGAGAAAACGACCTTTTTGAGAGAGAGATATACATATATTCTCATTTTTATCCCTTTTTTCTTCTTTCCCTTTAACGCTTGGTTGATGTCGCTTGGGATTAACGATGGAGGGGATTAGATATTTTGTGAAGATATAGAGGGGATTAAAGGGGAGGATATATATCTCTTTTTACTATTTAGTTGGCTTGTATATTGATTTTATATTTTTTTATATTTTAGAGGGTAGGGATTTTGGTTTTGGGGGGAGAAAAAGAGATTTTAAGGAGAAATGTTGTTTGTTTGTTGGCCTTCATAGAAAGATTTTTCTTCAGAATTTTTTAAAAAATATTCCTTTAATTAACCCTCTCTTAATTTTATTTTTAAATAGCATATTTATCCTAATACCCTAAAAATAGAGGCCCTGGGTATTTTTTACATAAATCTCATTCATAGACTTCTCAGTGAACTGGCATATAGTTTTTTCGATTAGATATGGGCTTCTATTTTAGGATTTTTACGCTATGTTTCTAATTATTTTTTTTTGTATATTTTTGATATTGGGGATTTTTATACATATATTTTAGAGGGGGGATTTTGGTTTTGGGGTTTTCGCTTAACTTTTTTTTTATTTTTTTGAATTTTTTAAATTAAATTTTTACTTATTTATTTTCATTCTAGATTTGTTTATCTCGTATAGTCTTTTAAAATTTATTATCTCCTTTTTATCTCTCATTTATATCCACACATCTCTATTTTTTAATTTTTTTATTTTTCATCTCTTCAATTTTTGGCAAAAATTTATAAAATTGGATGGAGAGATGGAGGAAGGGGGGGGGGGGGCTATATAATATTTTTAAGTATAAAAAAAGGAAAAAGCCGAGGGATTAGTTTTTGGTGATATTATATAGCGAAAAATAAAAGGGGAAAAAGGAGAGAAAATCCAGAGCCAACGCAGCTTTTTACCGCGAAAGTGGCGTTTTTGAATGAATAATGTGATATGAGAAGGGGAAAAGGGGGGAAGAGAAAAGCCTAAAAATTGTGAATTTGAAAAAAGGGGGAGAGAAGAGATTGGCTTTTTGTGGGATGTAAAAGTGTAAAAAATTTAATAGTTTTTGGAAAAAAGCTTTACTAGAATATATTAAGGGTATACTTTTGTGTGTCAGATGATAAAAGTGGGAGAGAGATTAACTAAACGAAAAAATTGTTGGGCAATATTTTTTTGGTTTTATTATCCTTGTTTCTTTAAAAATTTTTGTTTGACGATTTTTAGAGACAGCATTTTTAGTTTTAGCCAGTTTCCAGTGATTAGATGAGTACACTATTCATTTTAAACTTAGCTCCATTTTTTAACATAATATCCGACTCGACATAGGTGAGAGGGTAGACTTGAATTTAAGCTTGAATCGAAAATTTCTACTTTTATTGATGACAAGTACATATCTTTTTATATAAAGTGTATTTACTCTATAAATTAAAAATAGCTCTAAAGCTCATCTCCTTAATTGGATATATAACCTTTCTTTTTTCTAAAAAAGGAGCGAGAGAGAAGAAAGCTTTCATCCTTAAAATAAAAAGCTTCCTTTCATTGCGGAATAGTTTTAATTTCCTTTGCAAATCTTGTTTTTTTAAATTTTAACCCTACATCCTTTCTTGTTTCTAGATTTAAGGTTTTTAGATTATTTTTAAATTTAATGACTAGCTAGTTATAGTACTTATAAGTTGGTGATTTCAAATAATAGCTTTCAGTGTAACGGGTTAAATGTTGGGTGGGATAGTGTTCTTGGGCAAGTTCGAAGGCGATCAAAATTTTTTTTTAATTTTTTTCATTTTTCTACAATTTTCTCTGATAACTGTTCCAATATTTACTTTATAATTTTTATATTCAATCTTTTTGGAGATAGCTAAATAATCTTTTTCTTCGAGTAGTAGAAGGGTAGAGGGAGAGCCAAGTAATCCCGCCAGCTTTATATTTTCTTTTACTTTTCTTTTTATATTTTTTTTTCTTCATTTCCTCAAATACCACAAAAATTTTTTGATGTGTTTGCCTGTGTGTGGCGAGGCCACCAAAATAAAATTTTATATTTTGCTCATCCATTTAGCTAATACTTTAGTTAAATCTTTTCTTCTTTACTTTCCTCATCCTCCCTCTTTTCTATCTACCTACAGCGTTACTTTTCTTGATGATGATTAGCTAACTAACTAGCTAACTTTCTGTTCACTTTATTGTGTTTGGTTAAAGCCGGCAGCAACTTCTTTCTTTCCTCTCATTCAGAGCATTTAGCCAATCCCGACGTTTATTTTATTTTAGTTTTTCTTTCGGCTTATATCGTAAGCTTAGGAGATAGAGCTAGCTAAATATTTATTTTCTCGATCACCATCAACAATAAATATTCACAGGGCGGGCCAATCCTCCTTCATCCTTTTAAATGCCTCATTGATTTCTCTCCGCCTATTTACTGATGCTTATGCGCGGATATTTAAAAAATTATATTCTTGAAAAATTTTAATTTTGTTGGGAAATTTGGTATATTTTTTGTGATATCTTATCTATGCTTAAAGCTTTGGCCTTTATTTTGATCTAGTGTTACTTTTTCAAAAAGATGTGATTTTTCAGCATCTTATCGATCATAACTTTTTTATCAATCAGTCGAGAATTAAAATTTTTTTGAAATTTTGTAGGGTATTTAATTCTTTATCTATTGGTAACAAGATCAGTAAAAAGTATCCACCTCTTCAAAAGTTATAGTTTCCGGGATTGAACTAAACTGAGGTGTACTTGCGGTTTGCCTCGCTTTTTAAGCAGACTTTCGTGGATACTTTTTAAGCAGACTTTCGTCTTTCTCTTTTTAAGATCAGTTTCGGCACATCCTTTATCAATCTTATCTTTATTTTAAGAAATTATCTTTTATCTTTTAACTATTTTTCCAAGACAAATATTACATGCTTTTTATTCTTTTTGGCCACTACCCATTTTATTCATATATAATTTAATCTCTTCTCATACATATAAATCGAGGCGATAAACTAATATTTATTTATTTATTTGATGACGAAAAAAGTCTTTATTTCCTCCTCCAAAAAGCCTCTCTTTTTTCTCATTCAAATCTATGACTAGCTTTTCTGGCCAACAGAAAATTTTGTCATCATCTCATTCATTCTTTATACAAAAATTGAGGGGAAATATAAATAATAGGCGCGATTTATAGCCTTACTAGAGGGGAGCTTTTCTTTAGTTGCTATGTATGTTGTGTTTGAGGACAAAAATGGATTGCTGAATCACAAAAAAAATTTTTTTATTCAAGACTGTAAGAAAAAATAAAGGAATTGAGGGGAGGAAGGAAGGGGTAGAGGAAAGGAATAAATACATACAAGGGGATGAGTGTCGGCTTTATATATTTGTTGGCTTTTCAGAGGGGGAATGAGGGAAGAAATAAAGGGTGGAAAAGCTTTTCTTGCGTTTTATTGTTAGCGCTTTATTTTGGGCAAATCACCTCCTCCATTACCAACATCTTATAAATTTATTTAAAAACATTTTTCTTTTTCCTTCCTTTTTCCCAACTATTTAATACAATCTCGATTTTTATCTTCATTCGTTGGCCGTTTTTTGTTGGTATTTATTTGTTGATTTTTGTTGTTGGCCAAGTAATTACTAAAATTTTTCTTCAAAACAACCAACCATCTCTCTTATCTTTTTATCTATTAATAGCTGGATTTTCCGTCTTTTTTTTATCGCAAATCCTCTACTTTATACTTTTTAAGCAGAGGACTAATTTCTTCAAATAACCCCAATCATCTCTTTTTCTTATCTCTTTTTTTTTATCCATCAATAAAAAATTATTTTTAATATTATCTTTATTTATCGAGCTTTATTTTTATCTCAAAGAAACGGTGACAGACAATTTTTTGAACTGGGGATTTTTTCAGTTTTTAATGACTACATATTTTATTTTTTAATCAAAAATCTTCTTTAAAAAACGAAGAAATAGAAGGAAGATTTCTTCTTTTTTGACTTGCATAATTTAATATAAAAACGATCGCTTTTTTTGGTCGAACATCGCTAGAAGAAAATCTTTCGCGCTTATTTTCTTCTTTTTAATTTTTTTGTTTGTTTTCCATTTCCGGTTGGGGATTTGTTGTTTAGATTGTTGCGATTTATATTCATTTAAATAAAAGATAGACTGCACATACACCTTTTAATTGCTAATACAAAATTTTATGTTGATCAAAGAATCGTTTTCTGCTTTTTTTCATATAGATTTAAAATTTACACCTACCTATCTTTCTTTAAAAATCAGGACTGGGATTAGGGTTGGAGGCCCGTCTAGTCGGGCATCGAATTTTGGTCTGAAAAAGACTCGGTCGGTCCGGTCCGATAAAAATTAAGCCCGAAAAATTGACTCGAATGTCGGCCCGACCCGAAAACCCCAACCCACCCTAGCTAGGTGATCTCTTCTGTCTTCCACCGCTATTTTTTCTCTCCTAGCTTCTTCCATCTTTCATTTTTTAAAACAAGGCAGGGACTTATCTAAAGCCTAATACGATCCCTGATATATACTTATAAATCTCTAAAAAAAATTTTTAATTAATCCCTTTTTAAATCTTTTTTTATCGAATTTCTTTATTTATATGTATATCCTTTAGGAACTAAATAAATATTTAATTTTTAAATATATATTTGCATCATCCCTTCATTTTTTGTGCTTTATAAACGTCAAAACCTTCTTAATCATAAATATTTTTATGACATATCTTTTTAGTCTTTTTTTAGTTTATTTTTGCCGTTCCCCTGCTTTATTTAAAAATTCTTTGCCTCTTATCTGTTTTTTGTGTTGTGTTGCATTTTTTCTATCCTCCAAGTAGATAGATAGATGTTGATGAACCAACATAAACTGTACACAAATATCTTTTCTGCTTTCGTAATTTTTGACGTGGGTTTTCCTTCCCCATACTTTCAACTCTTAACTTTCATCCTCATAAACTTTTTCCTCAAAAAGGAGGATCGATCCAAGAGAGGGATGGGATTGTTGAGGGGTGAATGAGTGATTTTATTTATATGGGAGAGGAGGGGAAGGATTGGTTGGTTCATGGAAGGAATGAAGGTGGAAATGAAAGGGTATTTATTTATTAGGCTCGGTCATAACCTTTTCTCTCCTCATTCATGTTACGTTCTCTCAAACTATTTTTTTTTCAAATATTTGTATAGTACATCCCTTTAAATCTTTTTTCTGTTTCTGTTCAGTCAGAAGAATTTTTTAAACTTTAAAAAATATTTTTTAAGGAAGTAAATATTTCCGTTACTTATTTTTTTTCTTTAAATTTTTAAACTTTTGCGTGTGTGGCAAAAAATTGAGGAGAAAATTGTTTATTTGTGTGTTGTAATAATTAGCGCATAAATATAGGGGTATCCGTAAATTAAACTGTCTTTTGAAACTCTCGCGCGATTTTTTCTTTGTTTTAATTTTTAATTTGTTTGTTTGCTACAACGTTTAAAAATTGCTGAAGAAGGGAGTAGATTGTTTTAAATTTTTCGTTATTTTGTTTGTTTGTTGCGTGCAAATCCTTAAAATTTAAAAAAAAAGTGAAAAAGAATTTTCTTTTACGGGATGGGAGCAAAACACCAGACAAATTGTAGACTAGCTGTGTCTGCTTTTCTTCAATATTTTTGGGAAAATGTGTAGGGGAGGAAGAGAGAAAAGCCTGTTTTTTGTTGTTGCGCAACAATTTTTTTTTAATTTTCACTTTCATCTTATTTTTTTCTTACAGTCAGATCTCAGTATATTTTAGATACATCCAAAAAAATTTTTAGAACAGAAAAACATGAAAAGAGATGAGAGGTGATCTGAGATGTAAATCAAGGGTGTATTTATTAACTTTAAGAGATCTGATTGTGTATTTTTTTATCTAAACGTTAAAATCTGGGATGGAACGGATTAAGAGAAAAAAATCGTTTCGGTTTTTAAAATTTTCTTCGGATCGGGTCTCGGCTCTGAAAAAAGTCCTGATTTCAGATCTCGGGTAACCCATCCCATCCCTGGTTCAAATAGATCACAACCTCATTTTTCATACATTTATTTTTCAATTTTTGGCCAGCTTTTTTTGTGGATTTTTTAAATCTATTTTAGGGGTACCAGGCAAATTGCTTAATTCTTCTTTTTTTCTCTTAAATCAAAAACTTTCACTTGCGCGAATATTTTTTATTAATATTGTTTAAACGAGTTTAATGCGCAACTAAACTAAAAATAAATACTATAAACACAACAGAGTTCACATTCCAAAGTGCTTGAATAAAAATATATTTTATTTTGCTCGAAAAAATGCTTAATTTAATACAATATTTTGCGCATCCAATCATGCTACGTTTTTATTGTAAAAAATTTTTTTATTTTTATATTGTCTTTTTCAATTTATCTTTTTCTTTTCACTTTTAATTTTGGCCATAAAAAGCTAAAAAATTTATAAACAGACATGAAAAATTGGAATTTTTTTAGAAAAGCAGGAACAAGAAAAAAGGTTGGGGAGATGGAGAAGATGATCTGAAGGAACAAAATAAAAAAAAAAGAAAAAGCGCGGTAGCGCGTAAAAAATTTTAGAGAGCGAATTTGCGTGATCAGTAAGGAAAAGTGAAAGCGCAACCATCCAAACAAATAAAAAAAAATATATTAAAGGGTATAAAGAAAGTAAAAGCTGGCTGGCTTCCTTCCTTCCTCTTCACGCTTTTCTTTTTTTTTTATTGTTTTGTTGTTGTGTTTTTTAGTTGCGCGAAGAAAAAAAAAACAAATCATCACGCGCGATTTCGCGGAAAACGAAAAGAAATGGAGAGGAGAGAATTGTTCCTCCTTTAACCCCTTTAGGGCCAAATACAAGAAAAAAAAAGGAAGGATGGATGATGATTAGATCGTGGAGGGTCTGTCTGGCCGTTCCTCTTTTTCCTGTTTTTAATTCCACAAGAAAACAATTTCGCGCAGAAAAACGGTTCCAGTTCCTAAAAACTAGCCCATTAAGCATTAAATATATAGTTTTGTCTAGTTAAAGTTGTTGTTGTTGTAGCTGAAAAAGAAATTTTTTTATTGAAAAGGGGCGGGACAACCAGGCCATTGAGGAAATAAGAGAGAGATGAATGAGTGAGGGGAAGGAATGAAGGGGGGGAGGCTTTGGGCGGGACAACAAGCGATTATAGGAAGAGCAAGGGGTCGACTGGTTGGTTTTAGAAGAATGAAAGGGAAGGGGAGAGGTGAATGAAGGAAGAAGAGGGAAGAGGGATGGGGCTCCTTGGGGCGAGGGCGCGATTAGGCCATCACAATCGCGCTGATGATGATGGGGGTGCTTTATTGTTGTTCTTCTTCTTGTTATACTTCACCTCAATCTCTTCCAATTTAGAGAGAATGAGCGTCCTTTCTTCTTCTTGTAATCATCCTCTGGCCTTTGAGAACTTTCACTACTTTTTTTTTCTTGTTTTTTATTGTTGTTTTTTGTTGTTGTTCCTGGTTGTCATTTATTCATTCTCCATGATATTCCCTCACTTTTCCTTTTTTTTTAGAAAAAAAAGTTTAGATTCAATCAAGCAGTTTAGGGGGGAAAGTTTTGTTGCTTATTGTCCTCATCCTTCTTTTATTCATTTTTTAAAAAACTATCTTCTTCGCCTTCGCCTCTTCCATGTATAAAAATTTTATATTTTATTTATTATATTATAGTCCAAATTTTTATTTATTAAACACAATCCTTGAGTGAAAACGAATTGTTTCGTGTGCTATCATCCGATTTCATTGAAAAGTCTCTTTTTCATTTTTGTCCCTTATATAAATAGATATGTACAAAAATATTATAAACACATTTATATTTCTTCTCAATTCACACACACAGAGCGGAATCTCGCGATTTTTAGTTTTGGGGTTTTGGTATAGTAGTGATGGTTTGCCACATCCTCCTTTTTATTTTTCCCTATCTCTTCCTTTTTAAACATATTAAAAATACCCTCCTTCCCCTCAAAAAAATTTTTTCTTCTCATTTTCATCCTTCTCCTCCCTCAAAAAAATTTTTTTGTTGATTATATTGCATTTTAAAGGAGAGGGGTGGGAGATTGACGATAAATTTTAAGAGAAAAGGTATAGATAGATTAAATTTGAAAGCAAAGCAGCAACATATCATAATCATCATCAACATATCAACAAGCGGAGTCGGTGTTAACGGCAGTTTATTTTTAAGTATAAGGAACGATTTATATTTATGGTGAGATGATGTTGATAAGGCGAGAATTTGGCTGAAAATAAAAAAAAAGAGGGGGGAGAGATTGGGGGTTTTAAAGGGGGAAAGGTGTGGTAGTAAGTGATTGGTGGGCCGGATGGATGGGCAAAAATTTATATATTTTAGATAGATAGAGAGAGTAAACGGGGGGATGGATGTTGGATAGGGGGAGAGGGAGGGAAGGGGAAGGGGGAAGATGTTGTTTGTATTTGTGTGACGGTGATGGCCGAGAAGTTAAAGAAGAAAAAGAAGAAGAACAGCACCACAACCAAAATCTCATTAACTTTTGCTCCCCCCTTTTTTGTTCTTCTAATTCTTTTTCTTTCCCATTTTTTAATCGCTTAAGATTGGATCCACCTTTTCTTCCCATTTTTCTCCTTTCTCTTTCATTTTCATTTTTTGATATAAATTTAATGCCTTGACAACAAAAAATGATGATCATCCCTTTTTTAGTCAGCCATTTTATTTATCTATCACGGACAAGTAGAAAATCGCGTTTTTCTTTTGGTCACGCCATTATTTGATGATATAATTTGGCCAATCTTGACAATATTTATCAAATTTATTTAAGGGGATATTACATATTAGGACAAAACAATTTAGAGACGTTGAGGTGTAGTGGGATAAATGCACATTCTCTTCAACCAAAGGTTGATGGTTCGAATAGTTTCGAATAGCAAATTTTTTCACAACGTTCAGATTTTTATTTTTTAAGATATTCTCTTTAATCTCACTTAAATCATTTCTCAACAATTTTTTAAATTCATAAACGCAATTTTTTGACCTTTTCTTTTTTTTTGATTAAATTGTTGTAATTCTCCCTTTAAATATCGGCTATACAACTTTAAAGAAAAACGCATATCATCAAAAAAGGTTTTGATGTGTTCAAAAATTAAAAAAGAAAAAAATTTTTCTTTTTCTCTTTCAAAGACTTTTTCAATCCAAATTTTTTCCCCTTTTTTTAAATGATTTCTAATCCCATTTTTTTGTCATTTTTACGTTTAAAACCCCCCTTCTCTACTTACGTTTCTATTAAATACACTCTTCTATCTATCACAAAACTTATTCCCCTAATTCATTCATCTCACTCATCATATTCACTTTTTTTAAAAAACTTGATTATACTGCTACCAAATATTCTTTATTTTGCGAATGGCAAATAATATAATGATTACGTTTGTCCCCTTAAAAAGATTCTAAAGAATTTTCATTACTTAATCCTTTTATGTATTTTCTCTCTAATTTTTAGTTCTTTAAGATGTGTATTAAACTTTGAACTCTTTATCTTTATTAAATATTTAGAAACTGTACAAATACTCCTTCACATTTTTTCTTTACTTAATTTTATCTCTCTAATTTTATCTTGAAATTGCGCAATATTTTTTTCCGGAAAGTATATTTTATTTTTATTTCTATGTATAAGTTCCGGAATATTTTTTATATTAATCTCTAGTTGTATCTCTGAATTGTGCAGTCTTTTTTCCGGAAAGTTTATATTCTGCATGTTTTTCCGGAAAGTATATTTTGTTATTTTCTTTTTTCTTTAGGTTCTTCCGGAAGTATATTCTCTATTTATGTATATTTTTGTAGATTCCGGAATATTTTTTATATTAATCTCTAATTGTATCTCAGAATTGTACAATGTTTTCCGGGAACATTATATTCCATTTATAAGCTCTGGAAAACTTTATTTCCTTTATATAAATTTGCCAAAATTAAACTTATTAAATAATTTTTTAAATTTTCTTTTTTAAGGTTCTTCATCCAAAAAAGCCTTCAAAAAATCAAAATTGTCTTTCATTGAAATATTTTTCTACTTAAAAAATATTATTTTTCTTCTTGCTTTCTACGGGCTTTAAGCCAATTTAATTTATTAAAAATATGGCGCCAGATATGTTCCCGGTGCGTGTACTTGTTGAAACTGTTCGATCACAACATTGTATTGGATGTGCTCATGATGGAAATCCTTTGGTTGACACATTTGCAGTAGTTGGTGGACAAACAATGCTTTCTCAATTAGTTGAAACGGTGCTAGCTGCTTTGGGATTACCTCAATTAATACAGGATTCGAAAGGTAAAAAAATTAAGGTTAAAAATTTTTGGGGACAATTCTTTATATATTTTTTGATTAATTTTATTCTTTTTGGGGTGTATCTCCTTAAAAATTAGAGTTTTTCCACTATCCATCTTTTTTAGCCTTCATTTAGGTTCCAGTCATTGAATTAATTTTCATTTTCTCCTTTTGAAAAAATTTTTTTGGTTTTGGCCTTCTCTTTTTTTTAGTTTAGTTGTTTTGTGAATATCATATAGCCGCCAAAAGCAAAAAAGGGGGAAAAGACACACACTGGGGAAAATATGTAGGGGATTGGAAAGATAGTAGAAAGAGGGAGAAGGAAGAGAAGATCCACTCGCTAAAAACATTGCTGCTTTTTTAGAATATAAATATTTTCGATTTAGCGATTCAATCCCCCAAAAGATCGAAGGATTTTAAGCCATATTAAAAGATTCTTTAAAGAATTCTATGTATTTTTGATTTAATGTAAAAAATTTTTGTGATCTTTTGGACATCTTTCGTACCATTAAAAAATTGGATCGCCTGTCCAGATTAGATTTTAGAAAAAAATTTTTTTGTATTTTTATATTGTTGGCCGTGACACGATGATCATATTTTCTCTTCTTTTTTCTCTCTCTATCCCCCTACATCTTTTACTATCCACAATCCAAAATATTCAGGCTAAAATTGAATAAAAAAAGGATGGGGGGATGTGAATATATAAAATGCTCTAAACCAAAAAGTATTTTTAATAAAATATAAAAACTGATTTGCATATTTATATGTTTATATAACGGGGGGATTTAAAGGGGGGAATAAAGAAAAAAATGTTGTGTGTAAAGACACACGATAGATATGTTTAGATTTTATTAAAAATGGATTTTTTTTTGAAATTTTTGGGGGGATATTTAGTATGTGAATTGAGAGAAGGAGAAAGGTTGGATGATTGAATTGAGAAAAAAATTAGAAATGGAGGGAAATATTTTCAAAAAAAAATTTAAAAAAAATTTTAGGTCTCATCCAAATTAATGGTTGGAAACCTATATCTTTTGAGGCGATAACAGATAATCCTGAAGAGTTGGTATCAAATTTATTTCGTGAAATTTCAACACATATGACACTTAAAATATTGGCTAAACAGTAAGTTTATTTTTTTTTAATTTTTTTTTAAATTAAAAAATTTTTTTAAATTATTTTTCCTCTTGACTAACTTTCTTTCATCTCTTCTTTCCTTTATTTTTCGATATCTCCTTTATTTAATTTTTCTAAAATTTTTTTTTATTCTTGTTTATCGCGTGATCCTTTCCTTATTTGTATTTACGTTTACCTTATAAAATTTGAGAGAAAATGGGAAAAATAGGAAAAAAAGACGGGGGGATCAATTTGGATCAGCGAGGCAAACTTTCTCTTTTCTCTTTTCTTTACTTTCACAAAAAACCATTAAACCTCCCTCTCCATCTTCAATTTATTTATCTTCCCATTTTCTTTTCTAAATATTGGCCCTGATAAGAAAAGGATGGATGTATTTTGGATAGGACAAAGTAAAGAAAGGAAAGAGGGGGGGGGGGCTTGTTTGGCCAAAAAATTTTTTTTTAATTTCAAAATAGTTTTGAAGAAAAAAAAATTCTAAAATTCTTTAGATATTGTAGTTTAAAGGGAAAAAGAAAGATTAAAAAAGATTAATAAGGAAAAAAATAATTTTATTATTTTTTAACGTGATAAAATTTTTTTTGACTAAATCGGCTTTTAAGAAATTTTTTAAAAAATTAAAGAGAGGAATTAAAGATAAAAAATTTTAAAGGGCAAAAAATTAAATTAAAAAAATAATCTGTTTTTAAGTTCACAATCTGAATCGAATGGTCAGTGCCTTACAGAATTGAAACAGAGACTTCTTAAAACTGCTATAGAACAGCAACCACGTATTTTGACCACAGCAAATGGACAAGAAGTTAAGGTAACAAAAATTTTTTCTGAACCCTTGGAGATTTTCTGACCCCCCCTAGCCGTGGGCTGGGGGTCAAAGATTTTATAAAAAAAATATTTTTAATTTTAAAGGAAATTCTTCAAAACGTCATACAAAACGATCAACAATGTTCTGCTTGGTCTAACCGTGAACAAATGCAAGCAGTTAATGAATGGTTAGAACAAATGGCTACACAACAAGATGAAAATAATAAAAAGAGGTTTTTTGGAGAGTTCAAAATTAAAAAAAAATTATTTTTAAAGTTCACATTATGGAACTCGTTTTAGTCCATTGAGTGAAATGGTAAATTTTCTATTTTTTAAACTTCAAAAGAAAGTTTTTTTTATCTGTGCTCTAGTTTATGTGTCTAATGGGATTTTACGAGTCCGACCCTCATAGTCTGTTACCCGCCCCTCTCATTTAGACATTTATTTCCTCCTTTAGATTATAAAATTTCTTAAAACTCTTAAAACTTCATTGGACTTATAGTCTAGAGCAGAAAAAAATTTATTTAAAATTTTTTTCTCTGCAGCCTCGTTTGGAACGTTGGTTTCGCTCAGATTCAAATCCTTCAAGACAAAAATTGATTAATTATATGAATATTTTAAATTCTTCCTCATTTCGTCGTGTAAACAATAAAGTAACTTATCAACAAATTTGTAATTGGTTTGCAAATCAAAGAAGAACAATGCAACGTTTAGCAGCACAACAACAACAAGCTCAAGCAGTACAAGCAACACAACAATCACAACAATTACAGCAACAACAACAAAGACAATCTTGCTCTTCAAATTCGTCTTCGTCTGGAACTGCTATAAATGGAATTGTTGGTAATGGAGGAATTGGAGGTGGACCTTTAGCTATATTACCTTTAAATGCTACTGGTGTTGGTAATAACAATAATATTGCTGCTGTTGAAAATCAAGGTCTGATTAAAAAATTTTTTTTATTTTATTGCGGCATTCTTCCCTATATGACCTATATGACGCTAGTAAATCATAATAAAAACTAAAATTTATTCTCAACATTTTCGCAAAAATACGTGAGTTTATGCGTCTTCGAGCCATTTTTCGAGTTTTAAAGTTTTTCAATTCTCACCCAAATTGACCCAAATGTAACCTCATTGATTGATTTACTCTTCATAGAGTCAATTTAGGTATTTATTTTTTAGTACAAGAACAACAATCACAACAAAACCAGTCTTGCTCTTCCGCTTCATCTCCAGGAGTTGTTGTAAATGTTGGAAGTAATGGAGGAGGAATTTATTCTATGAATAATCAACCTTTGACTACTTTAATGACTTCAAATGCTGTTTCTAATGTTGGTGGTGGAAATGGAGGAGGAGGTGGAAATATTGAAAATCAAAGTTTGTTTGTTGTTTTTTTAATTTTGGAATTTCGAAAATTTTTTAATTTCTAAAAATCAAAGCCTTTCGGCATGAAAATTAAAAAAATTTTTTTCCCCTTTTAGCTTCACTTAATCATCAACATCATCAAAATTTAAATAATAACAACTCCAACACCAATTTATTTTATTCATTAGCCTCAGCATTAGCAACTGGGAATATGGATACAGCAATTCATTTACAACAAAAAATGGCTTCACTTTTTGCTTCTGGATTAAATAATTCAAATAATTGTGATGGAAAATCTGTGGAAAATGACGAAAATAATGTACATATTCCTTTAGCAAATGGTCCTCCAATTGTTGATATTCGTTCAAAATTTGTTGATAATAATGGAAATAATTCTATGGTTTTTTTTAAATAATTTTTTTAAGAAACAACAATAGGCACTAGCTCATTAAGTCTTATTTTATAGGGAAGAGAGAGGGGGAGGGGGGTACATTAAATGGGATTAGGGTTGACATATTCTTGGACATCTTCGTATATCCGTATCTGCCAACCAATTCCGAATCTGCCAACCAATTCCAGTTTTTCTAAGCACGGATGGAATAGGGTAGTCAAAAAGTCAAGTTGTATTTCGTGTCTAATTTTGTTTTTAAGTCAGTAGACAGAAAATTAAACTTCTTTTTTGGATTTTAATTTTTTATGAATTTGGCCTCGTCTTCAAAAAGGGTTGTCGATTCCTAGAATTTTTCTGAAGAACCGAGCATTTTTTTTTGGTTCGGGTTCAGATATCCAAAAATTTACCAAGAATCCACAATTACTAATGTCTCGCCGCTTTGTTAAAATTTTATTTTTTATTACAAAAATTTTTTTCCTTTAAAGGATTTTTCTCACCAACAATCTTGTTCTTCTACAAATGATTCTAATAATAATAACAATTTTTCTTCTGCTTATTCATTATCTGCTTCAAACAACATGGCAAATAATAATACAGCAACAGCTTTAATTAATAATGTTGGTTCTTCACCTTCATATTCTTCAATTTCACGTTGGCGAAAAAATTTTTTTCTAAAAATTTTTTTTAAATTTTTCAGCAATAAAATTAGAATCTGGATTACTAAATTTTAAATTAGAAAATGAATTTTCTTCTCCACCACCACAACAACAAAATATTGATGGACAAAACAATGTTGGGGCGAATGGTGGGAATGGTAATTCTGCTAATCAATCAAGATCGAGATTAATGTTTGATCCGTTAAGTGAATTGGTTTGTTTTTTGAAAAAAAAATTTTTTCAAATTTATTGTTGTTTCGGCAGGAGGGAGGGTTTTAGATTACTCGAAACCTGGCCCGATAAACTTTTGAAAAGCCCCAACTCACACACCTTTTCTGTGGGATTTACCCACACGTATTTCCTTATAAAGTGTCCAGTTTTTTTCTCTTCTATTGCCAAATTCGTTTTATCCGGCTTCTCTTACTTAACCCCATCGAACATAATTTTTAGATGAATAAATATATAGAACCTTTGATGATTTTTTTGAAAGGGTATCAATAAAAATTACTTTTTCCCCACAAATAAATATGAGAGAAAGTCTTATACCTTGTCAAAATTATAATTTTTATTAAAAAAATTATTAAGCCAATTCTTGAACGTTGGTTTGATGATAATCCACATCCAGGATGGTTACAAATTGAACAGGTTTTTTTCTTACATTTAATTTGTTTTAATTTCTCAAAAAATTTTTAAAGTACACTGACTATTTAAATTCAATGACTTATCGACAAAATTATCCACCAGTTTCTACACATAATGTAAAAATTTGGTTTAAAAATAGACGTGCTAAAACTAAAAGGTTTTTCTTAAAAAATTTTTTTTTAAATTGTATAGCAATTCGATATCCTTTTGGGATTTTTTGTGGTAGAGCCTTCGGGTCGGGGTTTCTTGCCAAAAAAAATCGTCGGGGTTTCGTGAGCCGGGCAAGCTACCCTATTTTTTAAATGATAAAAATTTTTAATTTTTTTAATAAAGGTTGTTGAATAATTCTGAAGCTAGTGGTGTTGTTGGTGGTGGTTCTGCTGCCTAATTATTAAATTAAAAATTGGTGGTTATAAAAAATTAAAGGGAGAGATGATGTTGATATTTGGTCTTCAACTTGAAAAAATCAAAGTTTATATTTAAATTTATACTTTTTAAATAATTATTATTTTGAGACACCTTTCAATCTTTTAAAAAAAAATTCCAATTTTTTTTTGACTTTCCCATTCCTTTTTTTAAATTGGTTTCTTGATTTAGATCCATTTATTATGAAATTTTTTTCTTGGGTAATCAAGAATCCTTTTCTAAAATTGGGATTTAAATTGGATCTAAATTAAGGTGTATCTTCTCGCTATTTTTTTCAAAAATTTACAACTTATTTCTTTTAAATGTTGTAACTGAAATGGAAAAAAAGTTCAGTAAAAAGTCCAAAAAAGAGTCCAGGCCTAGGTATTTTCTGACCTTCCTGGGTTTTTTCTGGACTACAGGCCCAGGCTTTTCAAAAACTAACAGAAAATTTAAAAAATCAAAGATTCACATCAGTTACAACATTAATTACTTATTTTCTAAAGTGGCTTTGACCTCAATTTTTACATTACTTATATATATTTTTTCAGGGCTTTGAGAGAGACCTTTTTCAAATTTAAAAAATTATTATCTTTTAAACACAAGGTCTATAATTTTTGACAAAAATATTCAAATTTTCTCTCTTTTTTTAATTAAAAAAATAAAAATTTATTTCTAGCCTTGCCCGATTTTTTTTAAAAAATGTTATTTTATATACTTAAATATATTTAAATTTATTTTGTTAATTAATTTTACTCACTTATGCTTATTTTAATTCTTATAAATCTTATAAGAAGATTTTAAAAGAGAATCGATTTTATAAAAAATTTGTATATTTTTTTAACTTACTTTACTACTTTATAAATTTATCGAATTTTTTTTTTAATTTTTTACCCCAAGGGGTTTAAAGAAAATTCGAATTAATTTTTAACGCCACTTCATAATGTTAATCGACAAAATGGAATGCGTGAAAAGGGTCTTTTACAAAAACAGTACGCGACAAAATGGTACATTAGCAAATTTTTGTAAAACGGTCAACTATTCTTGTACCATTTTGTCAACATGTCTCTTTGTTGCCAATTTGTAATGTACCGTTTTGTCTGTACATCTCTTACTGTTAATTAGAGAAAAAGATCATGTAAAATATAGTTGTGTCAGACAGTTAAAGTTTGATGTGCACTACAAATGACCAACATTATAAAAAATCCTAATTAATTTTTGTGGCATATTTTTTTTATTAATTAATTAATTTTTTTAGATTAGCTTTTAGTTTATTTATTGCTTCATTTATTTTATATTTAATGGAATTACCTAATGGTCAAGCTATTCGGCAAAGACGTATTGGAAGTGTTCGTGAAATGGTTCAAGAAGTTGATGCTTTTGTTAAAGTAACAGATGATGTTAAAGAAGAACCAAAAGCCGTTAATGGAATTTGTGAGAGGATTTTTTAGTTGAATTTATATTGATTTTTAATTTATTTTTCAGTGACTGTCCTCAGCTTTACTTTAATTTTTGTTCTATTTATTGGAGAAATTCACAATTATTTTACCAATGATGAAGTTGAATATCGATTTTCTGTTGATACTGATGAAACGTGAGAAGTTTTTATTTTTCGAAGCTAAAATTTTGTTTTTTAAAGAAATCCAATGTTAGAAATTGATATGATTGTTGCTTCACCATGCAATAATTTGGCAGTTATGCCGATGGGTGTAGATTCAGTAGAACCTACAAAAGATGGAACGCATATAAAGAAAACTCCAACAAGGTTTATTTTGTGTTTTAAATTTTTTAATATTTTTTAAAAATTGCGTCAAATGTCCAGACTTGTAACTAGGAGGATTGCAATGAATTAAAAACCCTCATGAAAAATCCTGGCTGTGGGCGGTCCTCCAATTCGGATAAACAATGTGTTGTCCGAAAGAGCGTGACTAGCTTATTGTTAACTTGGCTTACAATTGAAACTCAACCTTAATTTTGATTCCATTAATTAACTCTTTCAAATGACATTGTGTGTCCGAATCGGAGTGTGGGACATGTGACATAATTTCTAAAACTTTCTAAATCTAAAAATTAGGTATGAGATGAATGAAGAGGAAGAAAAATTATGGGAAGCATTGAAACGTGTTCATCGTGAACATTTTAAACCAGGAACTCCATTGAAGGGCCTTGATCAGGTTTTTATCAAAAATTGAATATTTTAATCAATTTGGATTTAAAGGTAAAATATGTTGGCAGTCATATTGAAGAAGGCTTAGAAATGGCAGAAGAAGAAAAGGAGCGGTTAGAACGTTTAGAATTGGAACAACAACGAGCCAAATTAAAAGAAAAGAAAGGAGATGATGATGAAGGTTTTCATGAAGAACATATTATTATGATGATTGGAACGGGGTTGGGTGTTTTTCAAATTATTGCTGCTGGTGGTGGTGGAGGTAATTTTATTTGACTTTTTTTATTTGACTTTTAAAGGTGGAAGTGATGAACTCGAAGAGGGAAGTGCTTGCCGAATTAGTGGAAAAGTTCCAGTCCTCAAAGGAAGTGGCGATCGTCTGACAATAACAATTGGAAAATCTTTGCCTATTGGAAATATGATTCAACATCTTGGGCCTAATCAACGTTTTTTCTTTTCTTTTTAAATTATTTTTAACTGTGTATTTTTAAAGATGGAAATATTTCTCACAGAATAGAAAAATTTCATTTTGGTCCACATATTTGGGGTTTAGTTTCTCCGTTGGCTGGAAATGAACAATATGCTTCCAAACGTTTGTTTTCTTGCTTTTTCTATTTTTTGACTATTTTCTTTTTTCAGCCAGTACAGTCTACAAATATTTTATTAAAGGTTTCCTTTTTTATTTTTTATTTGTTTTTGGGGTGAGCCATAATACCAAACGCCGAAATACCAAACTCCCGAAAACGTGGGAAATGCCGAATTTGGGTAAATACAAACTCATATAGGTATTCCATTCAGTTTAAAGGTTGTTATCAATCCGCGTTTTGGTATTTCTGATTGACTTTTGGAGGTTTGGTATTTCGGCTTTTTTGTTATTACATTGTCATATAATTTAAAATTTTTATTTTTTAGTTGTTCCAACTCGTATTTACAGTAAAGGACTTTTATTTGGTCAAAATTATTTGAGTACATATCAATATGCAGTTACTTATTCGGTTTTTATTAGACTTGTTTTTTTAAATTTAAATTTTTAAAGAAACACGAAGCTGAAGGTGATGAACATATTCACGATTCTATAATTTTTGATTATGAATTTGTTGCTACCGCTATTGAAGTACATCCTGTTTCTATGTTTGTTTTGCTTCAAATTTTTCGAAAAATATTTTTTCAATTCTTAAAGGTCCTTATTACAATTATCTTTACGTATTTGTTCTATTGTTGGAGGTATTTTTGCAACTTCAAGATTTTTGGAAGCAACAGTCTCTAAAATGGTTACTCTGCTACATTTTTAGTTGTTTTTTTTTGAAATTTCTTTTTATTAAAAAAATATTTTTTCAATTAATTATTTCCTATTTTGCTATTATTTTTCCTTCATAATATTTTTTTTAAATTCAAAGCGATTTTTCTGTTTATTTTTTCTCTGATTTTTATTCTAGCCTTTAACTCAAAAAATGAATTTTTTTTTTGAAAATTTTAGATTTTTTAAAGGCTAACTTTATTTTTGAGAATTGAAAGGTTTATTATTATTGTCAGATTCAAGAATTGTTATTTTCATATTTATGGTGCTTCTTCAAAAATTCTCTCTCTAAACAATTTTCAGTTACGCTTTCTTTCTAACGGGTCTTTTTTGTTTTTAAATTTTTTTGTTTTCTAAATTATTTTTGTCTTTTGTTTTTATTTCTTTGTGATAAAAATACACTATTATTAATTTGATTTTGTAAATTTTATAGTAGAATTTTGCTAAAAAAATATCTTTATTTTATAGACTTTGAAAGGATATTTCAATTAAAAAATTGTATTTTTAAATAGTAGAGAGGATGTCAATAACAGTTTCAGCTGCTCAACTTGGTGAACAAAAACAGAAACAATTTAGGTTTTATTTTTTAAAATTCAAAAATCTGTTAAAAAATTTTCCTTCTTTTAGTTATTTACCAAAAATAATAAATGGAGGAATTGCGGGAATTGTTGGTGTAACTTGTGTATTTCCTATAGATTTGGTCAAAACGCGTTTACAAAATCAAAAAGAATTGCCTAATGGAAAGGTTCAATATCAAGGAATGTAAGAAGAAAAAAGAATTTTTTAAAGACAAATTTTTTTTATTAAAGTTTGGATTGTGGACGTCAAACATGGAGGAATGGAGGTCCTAATGTTTACAGGTTTTTTAAATAATTTTTGTTGGTTAAGTGGTTTGGTTAGGTGATTTGGATTGTTTAACCTCTTAGGTTTGATTCCTTTGAGTTGTGGTTTTTCCTGTGAATTTTTTTGTGAATTTTTTTTTGTTTCCAGATGGGTTCTGATTTTTAAAAATAACTTTAAAAAAATTCCCATAAAAATTGTTTTGTTGGTTAAGTGGTTTGGGTGCCATTTTCTTATATGTATTCTTGAGGGTTCGATTGAGTTGAGGGATTTCCTCTTTAATCCAAAAAATTTTTTCTTCTTGCTAGATGGGTTCTACATTTTTAGGCAACCTAGACTATTTTTTAAGTAACCTAGAATTTTTTTAAAAATTTATTTTTTAAGCAAAATTCGTTCATTATATTCTGGCTCTAGTGTAAATATTTTATTGATAACCCCAGAAAAGGCAATAAAATTGGTGGCTAATGATTTTTTTCGTTATAAATTGGCATCTCCAAATGAAAAGTTTTTTTAAAGTTTAATTAAGAAAATTTAAAAAAATTTTTAAAGAAAACTTTCAATACCAAAAGGAATGCTTGCAGGTGGTGCAGCAGGTTTTTGTCAAATAATTGTAACAACACCTATGGAATTACTCAAAATACAAATGCAACGTTTGTAAATTTTTTTTAATTTTTAAAAGTGGATTTAAATAAGACGGGGGTGGTTTTGGGGCACACTAAGGGGGTTCGAGTTCTAACTTAATTTTAAAAAACAAATCAATTTTAGTTACAAAAAGATTTATTTTAAATTAAAAAAAGAATACAAAAAATTTCCCGAAAATTAAAAAAAAAATATTGCGAATATCGCTCAAAAATTTTAAAAAAGTAAAAGAATGTTTTTCCAGAATATTTCTCCTCGTTTACATCATCTTCCTTCTAGTCCTTTTTGTCTTCCTTCTTTTCTTCAGCCTTTTGTTCAGCCGTTTTTGCCTTCTCCCCTTCAATTTCTCCAACAATTTTAATTGGAATTTTAATAGCTTTTTGTTTTTCTTCTTGTTTCTTTTCTGGTTTAATTAATTCTGCTGTAACATTAAATTGTCCATTAGAATCAACGCTGCATTCAATTGTTTCCTTTTTAATATTTTTGGGTAATTGAACACGTCGAGTAAATGAACGATGAATTGATTGATGTTCGTCTTCTTTTTTATGTTCTGCAGTAATTATTAATTCTTCTCCATCAATTTTAACTTCAATTTCTCCAGGTCGATAATCAGAAGCATCACAAGAAAATTTGAATAAGGAATCATCTGTTTGACGGATGTTGCCGAGTAAATCGTTACTGAAAGAAAAAAAATTTTAAATTAAATTTAAAAATAAAAATTATTTTTCCTGACAGGGTGCGAACCTTTAACCCTTGGAAAGAAATTTTGAAATTTTTTTGAAAATTTTCCCTTTTGGGTGTGGAAATATTTTTCTCAAAATTTAACAATAAAAAAATTCTTTCTTACATTTGATGAGTTCCATCATTCAAAATTTGTTCAAATGCTCCATTCAATGTTGGCCAATAAATTGAAACAGTTCTTGGAACATTAAAAAAGTCACCAAAATCATCATTAAATCGGCGTGAACAAAAAGAGGAACGAGTTCGAGGTTCGGCTACAGGCCAGAAAAATGGGGAAGAAGAACACAATGGCATTTTTTGTTTGGTTTTGAGAGTTGGGTTTCTTGAGAGTTTTTTGTTTGTTGTTTGAATTTTTGGAATTGTTGGACTGGGAAATTTGAGGCATATTTATAGGGAAATTTTGGTTAAGAAATAAATTTTCTAGAATATTGTAGAATTTTCTAAAAATAAAAAAGAAGGGAAAATGAGTGCAGATTTAGTGGTTTAGAAAGAAAGGGAAGGTTCTAGAATGTTCTAGAAAATAAAAAAGGAGACGGGTGGTTGTAAAAAAAGAGAGCCAGCTGACGATTTAATGAGCGCAAATTTTTGGCGTTTTCTAAAAAAATTTTTTTAAGGAGGTTATTAGAGTCTTGGAGGCTTTGAAATTTTTAGAAATTTTTTTTAGCAGAAATTTTTCTGAAAAATTAAGAAATTTTTTTTTCAGAAGCGAGTTCAACAAGCAAAACATCAGCAACAAAATTAGCTTTAAATCTCATAAAGGAAAAGGGAATATTTGGCTTATACAGAGGATTAGCCCCAACAATGGCTAGAGATGTAACATTTTCTGTTATGTATTTTCCACTTTTTGCTGCATTGGATGCATTAGTATGTCTTTTAATTTTTTATTTTTAAAATTTTTCTAAAGGGGCCCAGAAAATCACCCCAAAGTGGAGATGCTGTTTTTTATGCTTCCTTTCTTGCTGGTATTGTAGCGGGTGCTATAGCCTCTTTTTCAGTGACTCCATTGGATGTATAAAATTAAAAAAATTTTTTTAATTAAAATTTTTTAAGGTTATCAAAACTCGAATTCAATTAATTGAAAAATCCTCAACAGATTCACCCCAATATAGAGGAATATTGGACGCATTTAGGTTAAAATTAAAAGATATTTAAAAAAAAATTTTTTTTGTAGAAAAATTTTAAAAAACGAGGGCCCTCGTGCTTTCTTCAAAGGTGCAGGATGTCGAATGATGGTGATGGCCCCACTCTTTGGTATTGCCCAGATGGTTTATTATATTGGTGTTGCTGAATTTTTACTTGGACGTGAAAAGAGTCAACATATTTAAAATGACTAAAAAAATTTCTCGGTTTGTTTTTTATCTGTGATCTTTTTCTAAATTTTTAATATCTAAATCATCTTTTCAATCTTTTCACTTGCAATAATGTGAATAAGGGTTGGCGGTTCGGAACCGACTCGAATTGACTTATTTTCTGATATCTGACAATTTCAGTTTCGGTTTTCTGTTAGGATATCCGGATATTTTCCAAGAATCGACAACCCTAAATATTAATAGAATAATAATAATAACTTAGCCAACATTTATGTTAGCGAAAAAAATTAGGTGGACAATTATATTCTTAAAGATAATCTTTTCATTTCTTTTTGTTTAATATTTTATTAGTGTCCAGCAAAATCGTTTTTTTTTCGGGGGCGGAAATATTTCAGAGATTGCGAAAAAAAAACCCGGTTTTGGGATCTGGACTTCGTAAAACACCGCAGGACATTAATGTTTATTTACCTACACAAATTATATAATAAATAGATTTTTATTTTATCAAATTTTGTCCATTTTCTACTATTATTTTGAATAATTAGTAACTTTTTTGATTTTTCCCTCTTACTTTTTATTTTTTAAATAAAAGTTTAGGGGGTATATATTTCAGAAAATGGTTTCAACAATTCCAACTCTTCGCCTCTTTTACCGATTATTTATTATCAAAAGAACAGCAACAAGACTAGCTTCATTAGATACCTCAATAGCCTCATCATCTTCTTCGCCAAATAAATTTAATCGTTATGATACAAATTTGAAATTAGTTGAAGCTTTGAATAATGAAAATTTTGATCAAATTGGAAGTCCATTAATTTTGGGAAATAAAACACAGGTTTATTTATTTGAGAATAATGCTGGGAATGGGTCCGAAGACAGGAAAAATTTCATGAGGTGGGGGAGTGAATCATTTTTGGGGAAATTTCGCCACCAAATTTTTTGGCGCTTGAGACATCCATTGGATACATGCGTGGTACTGACATGAGTATGTGTCCTGAGCAGCAGTTGAGACTAAATAGCCGGAGCAATACCCAGGACTTTTAAGATTAAAATAAAAAAATTTTTATTTAGAAGGATTATGTCGAACTTTTTCGCGAACAATTAGACTCTGAAGAAGCGTTTTTCACAATGGTTTTTTTTAAATTAATTTAAAATGGAAATTTATAGATTAAAAATACAACTCGAACAAGTGAATTGGAACCAATGGAAAAATTAATAGAAAATTGGGAATGGAAAGAACATATTGAAGAAAATTTGAATAGAATAATTGCAGAGAAGCCTATGAGTAAGGAATGTAAGGATTTGTTAAATAAAGAAAATTTTTGTTAATAAATCTGAGGTGGCATTTGGGCTCTCGACAAAACTAAATAAATCTAAAACTAAATTTTGATTTTATTTTTATAATATGCTGGCTTTAGGACTGATCATTTGATCCTATATAAAGTTTCATTCTCTGAAATATGTTCTAGGATTTTTAACTAAAGACCGGACTGGCGGGGTAGGGTTGGGGGTGTGGTGAGTAAATGGATGAATTGAGAGGAGTTGTGGGGAGGAAATTGATAACATCGAAGAATATCGACCACGATGACCTTGATTTTTTCGAGAGCTTGTCTCGGTCCAATCTCTACTTTTAACACGAAGCATAGGATCGGAAATTAGTGTGGCCAATAAAATTTGCTTTCCTCTACATTTTTATTAATTTTTAAATTCATACACACAGTGAGAACCTTTTTTAACAATATCGACACAAAAGAATGTGCAGATAATTTATTATTATTACTTCAATCAATTTTATGTCGTGGACAAAGATCTGTTCCAATAATTGAATTAAATCAAATATTTCCAAGAATTATAATTAATTTATATAGAGATCCATTCTTTAGACTTTTATCTGTTGAATATAAAAAGGTTTCTTTTTTATTTTTTTATTTTTTTAATAATTATTTTTTAGAATATTGAATTATTATTTAAAGAATATACAAGATATTATTTGGATAAAAATATTTCAAAAAGATTTACAATTCGTGATTGGTGGTAAGCTGTGTTTTTTCAAAAAAAATTTTTAACTTGGGAAAAAGACTTGGGAAAAGAGATGTTTATCATCTATATGATGACAATAAGCAGTAATATCAAAGCCTCACAAACTACCGAAATGCCAAACTAAAATTTTTGTCATCATCGGCATTTTTGTCATTACTGCACGACGCTACGGGTTATCATTGGGATTTTTTTTTGTGAGTCTCTTTTGTCCTAAATTAAACCAGAAATTTTTTTCATAATTTTTGGACCCTGAAATTTTTTAAATTTTATTTCTTTTTTAAAATTCTTTCATTCTAAAAAATATAAAATTTTTAATTTCTTTTACTAAAGGTACAAATGTGCTTCTCAACTTCAATTGCCTCCAGATTATTTTCCCCAATTTGAAGAATTTTTTAAAACACCTATTCAAGATGTGAGTACTTCTAAAATATTTTGTTTTTAAATTTTCTATTTAGATTTCCAATTTATTTATTTCTTTTCTAATTGAACATTGTGAATTTCCACTTTATCGAGGAAAAAAGAATGAAGACAGCAACGGTAAAAAACGTTGGCAACATGCTTTTTCTATTGGAGAAGTTCAAATTGAAGAATTAAATCCCCATGAAGGATTGGGTTACAAAACAAATTTTTGCAAAATGTTAAAAGTTCATTATCATATTTCTGAAATTTATTGTTCTAAACATCAATTTGAATATTTGTATTTTGAAAGTCATTTGTTACCTATGAAGGTTTGAGTTTTTTTTAATTTTTAAAAAATTAAAAAAAATTTTTTGAAAGGTCCCTCCACGTCCGTGGCTAGACAGAGGAAAATGTGGCCCAAATTATTTTTTTAAATCAAAATTAATTCGAGATATGGACGAATATCCACATTTAAATTTAAATGCTGAATTATTGGATAAACGAATCGAAAATAAAATACAAGCTAGACCTGTTTTTGATGCTCTGAATGATTTGGGTTCTACACCGTGGAAAATTAATGAAGTAAAATTTTTTTAAACTTTTTTAAAGCAATCTAGAATAGGCAATTCCTAGACATCCAAAAACTTGTTGGATTCCTATAAAAAAACTGGAATACCAAAACCTCAAAAACTCGTCGTGACATTAAACTTTAGGAATGACGTCGTAGTACACCTAATCAAAAAAGTTTGGTATTTCGGCGACTTTTGGATTTCGGTGACTTGCCAAATTATCCGGTTTTAAACCCAATCGTGAACCATTCAAATTTTAAATTTAGAAATAAAAAAATAATTTTTAAGGAAATGCTTGGACATATGATGAAAGCATTAGAAATGTCTTATAATTCAAAAAATGCTTCATTTCTCAAAAAATTGGCAATTCCTAGACATCCAAAAACTTGTTGGATTCCTTTGGATTATGATAGATTTAAAAAGCAATATTTAAAAAAGAATAAAGAAGTTGAAGGAAAAAGCGAAGAAGAATTGGATGAATTTATTAGAAAAGAATTTAATCATAAAAGGGCATTAATGACTAAAATAAAGTTTGTTTAAATTTTTAATTTTTTTTTGTAAAAATAAATTTATTACTTTTTATAGAAATGAACAAAACTCTCTTTGGTGTTGGCTAATTTATCGTTTAATTTTGGCAAAACATTATACTAATCAAGATATTTATTTTCCTCATAATTTGGATTTTCGTGGTCGTTGTTATCCAATTTCACCACAAATTAATCATATGGGGGATGATTTAAATAGAGGACTTTTAAAATTTGCAAAAGGTTTTTTGCTTATTAATAGTCAAATTTCACTTTAAAATACCCCCAAAATTTTGCCCACCTTAATTTAAGATGGGGGTTTTTCTTAAATTTTGATAGGTAACTAAATAATGTTGGCTGATCCTGAGAAATTTTTGGATTCGGATTCACCAAACTTACTACTGACAAGGTGTTAAAGTTGGCGTAGTAAGGTCGATCGTTTACTGAGGGTCCGAGTTTGTAAATCCCTCCAGGTAAAGTGTACTCCCAATCTATTATAGTAGGGAAGAATTGTCTAAAAATTTTTCTAAATTTAGGAAAACCTTTGGGTGTTGATGGTTTTCGCTGGTTAAAATTACATTGTGTTAATATTACTGGAAAATTAAAAAGAAAACCACTTTCTGAAAGACTAGAATATGCTGAAAAACATCTTGACAAAATGATTGAATCTGCTGAAAAACCTTTTGAAGGTTTTTTAATTTTTAAATTTCAAAAAAAAAATTTGTTTTGAAGGAGGAAATTGGTGGTGGGAAGATACTGAAGAACCTTGGCAAACACTTGCTGCTTGTATAGAAATTAGAGATGCAATAAAAAGTGGTGATCCGCACAAGTTTTGTAGTCATTTACCTATACATCAAGTAAAAAATTTATTTGAAATTTTTAAAAAAAAATTTAAAATATTTTTTAGGATGGTTCTTGTAATGGTTTACAACATTATGCAGCACTTGGACGTGATCTTAAAGGGGCGGTTGGTGTGAATCTTGTACCTTCTGAAGTTCCACAGGATATTTATACAACTGTATTGGAACGGTTTAAATTTTTTAAAAAATTTTTTGAAATTTTTAAAAAAATTCTAGAGTAGAAAAATTTCGTAAAGAAGATGAGGAAGATGTAACAAGTAAATATCATGAAATTTCAAAAGAAATGAGAGAATTTATAAGTGGGCCAATTGAAAGAAAAATAATTAAACAAACGGTTTTTTGAGATTTTCGAAGGGAAAAAAATTTTTTTAAAGGTAATGACTGTAGCTTATGGTGTAACTCATTATGGGGCAAGAGAACAAATTAAGCGACAATTAATTACAATTGATATTCCAGATAGAAATAAAGAGGTTATATTTTTTTAATTTTTCGTCCAAAAAAATTTTTTTAAAGGCGTCTCGTTTTGCAACATATTTAACAAAACGAACTTTTGATGGACTAACAGACGCTTTTGAAAATTCAAAGTTTTTTTTAGAAATTTTTTCTTAAATTTGCAAATTTCTAGGAATTTAATGATTTGGTTTAAATCTTGTGCTGGTCAAGTCCTAAAATTAAGACAACCTTTAGAGTGGGTTACACCTCTTGGTTTACCTGTTGTTCAACCATATGTAACTGTTGAACAAGTAGATGATGCTCTAGCTTTTTTGCCGATTCGACATAAACAAGTTTGTTTTTTTTTCAAAAGTCTTACTAGTGTGATGCTGTAATAGACATGTCTAATACCAAACGTCCAAAAGACGCCGAAACACCAAACTTTTTCTTGGTAGGGTTGGTATTACGCTGTTATTTTCAGCTTGGTATTTTAGCAGCTTTTGGGGATTTGGTATTACAACGCGCTCCTATCTTGTCTTACTTGAAGACAATGAAGACAAAAACTTTCTGTCAAGATTCGAAAATTCAATAAAAAAATTTTTTTCTTAATAGATGAATGCTTTCCCTCCAAATTTTGTTCATTCACTCGATTCAACTCATATGATGCTTACTTCCCTTTATTGCCGAAAACTTGGAATAACATTTGCTGCTATACACGATTGTTATTGGACACATGCTTGTGATGTTGATAAAATGAATAAGGTTTTTTTTTTAAAAATATTCTTTTCAAATTTAGATTATTTTTGAATTTTTCTAGATTTGTCGAGAACAATTTATTGCCCTACACAAACAGCCAATAATTCAAAAATTATCTCAAGTAAGGAAAATTTTATTTTTTAAAACTTATTACTAAAAATTTTTCAAAAATTCATTCAAAATTTTTTAGTCATTCAATTCAACATATTTAACGGATTCTATCCGTGAAAAAATGCCGGAAAAGCTTTTAGCTGATATAAGCAATGTTTTTGATTCATCATCATTGAAATTAGGAGAATTAGATATTAATGAAGTACTAAAGTCAACGTACTTCTTTTGTTAAAGTTTTTTTGTTTTTTTTTTTAATTTTTTGTTAATGAGAGAAAGATTTCTATTTCAAGTTTTTAAGGAAAAAATATTTTTATCAGAGTTCAAAAATAACATGTAGGAGAGAAGCAACGGTAATTGTAAAAGAGAGTAGAATATTTTATAACAAAAATGGTTTGAAAATTGCGAATGTTGGATAGTTTTAAAATTTGATCGCATTTCTTTTTTAAATCATCCCACCAAAGATTTCAAAAGCAAAAAATTCCAAGTATTCAATCTGTTTGAAAAATTAAAATTGGTTAGTTCTGAAAGGGCTTAAAAGATTTTCTAGAACAAAATACCTTCAAGTTAAAAAAATAGATTTATTGAAAAAGAAAGGAAAGATGGGGACAAGAGTGATTGTGTATGGAAAAGATGGTCTTAAAAAAGTATGGAGGAGAAAGGGGTAAAGAATTGTTTTGAAACCTTTTTTGAAAAAACCTTGAAAGAAGCAATTTCATTTTGTGTCTTTGTAACCTAACAAATTATATATGAAAAATCCTCATGACACATGGGATTTTTTAAACCTCATTTTTTGGTAAACATTTAATGCAACAACAAAACATCACTGGTTTCTCAATGCAATTCTGAGAGAATATTTTCAAGAGGATGATGATCATTTACCTGAATATATCCATTGACTGTTTGAGTAACCTCTTTCTAACGTCGCGATTTTGAACGTGGAGAACGTGAACGAGACGAACGGCCTTTGTGACGAGGAGAGCGGTCTCGTGAACGTGAACGGTCTCGGTGACTTAATAAAAAAATTTTTAATGTTTTAAAGGTATGTGAAAAAGTTAACCGTTTATGATGCTTCTCGTCGTGACGTTTGTCAGATTTGTGCGACCCCGAATCGCTCTTGTGCGAACCAGTACGATCTCGATGATGGTGCGATGAGTGTGACAAGCTCGAATGATGGTGACGACGCTCAGGACTCTTTGAACGCGAACGGCTACGTGAGCGGATTGGCGAAGTTTCCTTGTCAAGTTTTTCCTAAAAAAGGGTTTATATTACCCTCTTCCATCAAAAACAACCATTTTAAAATCCCTAAAAATTTCTAAATCCTTTTTAGAACGCTACAACAAGACCAAAAAGCAAAAACAAAGAAACCTTGAGTTCCTCAATTGTCTCAGCAACTCTTGCAAAACCCAAATGTTGCTTTCCTTGCATATGATCATCAATTCTTAAAAACAAACAAAAAAATTATTAAAGTCAAAAAACAACAAAAAAACCGTTGCTGGCAATCTCCAATAATTAAAAAACTTCCACAAACTTCACAAATACGCATTGGTTTTGGAGCTAGAAGAAAAATGAAAGAGAGGTGGGTGAATAAATTTAAAATTAAAAAAAAAGAATAGAATACCATTAGGATCTTTGTAGCCAGCCGTATATTTGGTAAGAAAAGCTAAAAATAAAAAAATTATTTTTGAGCTAGAGGGATTTTGGGTAGAGGGATTTGAGCAGGATTCTAGCAGGGATAGAGTTCGGGTTACCCAAAGCCCAGACTTTTTTAAGGGTAAACCCAAGTTTAAGATTCCCCATTTTTCTTCTCCAAGTGCTACTCTAGAGGGGACAAATTTATTTTTATTCTTCTATTTATTATTTTAAAATTTATTTTTAAAATTCAAACCTTCCTCACAGCCTCCAATTCTAAATTAACTTCTTCTGCTCTTTTTACGTATCTTTGTGATCTATCCAAATCTCCTTTTAATCCAGCTTTTTCAGCAATTTCAACATAATCAGACATTTCTTTTTCTAAACGTCCAATTTTTTCATTTAAATGTTTTTTTGTTGATTCATCCATATTCTTTAAAAATTTTTGAAAATTTTATTTAGAAAATTAGAAACCTGTGGCCCTTGTGTTAATGCCAAACGTTCTTTATTCTTTTCAATTTTTCTTTGCATATCATCTTTAATTCGAACCAAAAAATTGTAAAATTGTTTTTCATAACCTAACTTCTCGTAAAATTCACTCTTTCGATAAGCAATTCGAAGATTACTGTATTAAAAAATTTATGTAGGAAAAAATTTATAACGTGTATACTCAAACAATTACCCCAAGTACCTCTCTTGTTTCAACCTCCGCAGAAGGTAACTAATCGAGAGAGGGCAATTTTTTGCTTCTTTAGGAGGCGATAATAGGGAGAGTAATTCTTTGAGTAAATACTGTATATTAACATAAAAATAGGTTCACTTACTCATCATGGACATATTTGCATGATCCTTTAAAGAAAAAAATATTTTTTCTTAAATCATTTTATTTTAAAATATTACCCAAATCAGCTTTTGTATTTGTAAATTCTTCATGTGGGCAAAATCCAGCTAAAAAGAATTTGCAAACATCGGCATCCTTTAAATAAAATTGAAAAAAAAATCATTTAAAGAAACCCTGAAATTGAGGTCAAGATTTTTGTCTTGATTTCGACCAGGACCCATCAATTCATTCAACATTGCAGCAATTTGATCTTTAGCACTCATTTTTTAATTGTTTTCTGAAATTTATTTTTAAATTTTCCTGATTTTTTAATTTTAAAAAATTTCAATGGTTCTCCTTTACTCTTTATCTTCTTCTTTCTCTCTCTCTTATATTTCCATTATCTTTTTCTTTTATTTTCAGTAAACACTATTTATATTTTGCCAATACTATATTTTGCCAGTACGGCTAAAATCCACGTTTTGCCAAGAAAACTTTTTTGGCAAAACGTTGATTTTACGCTTATTGGCAAAAGATGTTGTTGGCAAAATATTTAGGAAAAATAAACACATAAGAATTGACACTTCATTGCCGATTTCCATCGCAACATTCATTCTGTAATTTTGAATTTTTTATTGCCAGAGTTTTATTGCGAGATTTATAACTTTAAATGGCAATTTTTTATTAATGGATTTATTTTTTAGTTTTTTAAAGATTTTATTAATTAATCTCTCTCAAGCTCTTAGCTTAATTTTTCAGTAATCTACTAAAAACAAGACAAGGTCAAAATCATGTGAATATGTTTATGATTGAGTACATATTAAAAAAATACCCTCCTATAATCTAATCTACCTCTTTTAATAATAATTTTTTCAACTCGGCGGTAATTTTCTTTCCTTCCTTTTCTCACATTAATAATTTGTTTAAGGTCATATACATATTTTTTCATGACACTTGAATGAGGTTTGCTTGCGTAATTATTTAACTTGAGCCAATTTTTACTCTACTGAAACCCTCTCTTAAGTAAGTGCCCTCTCAAATAATTGCCCTCTCCAGCAAGAGGTCGAAACAATGATTACTCAGAATAATTATTTGAGCAAATACGATGATCTTTTAATCCATTTTTATCTTAAAACGATTTATTTTCTCTTATTTTTTCTTCAATTTTTTACACTAAAAATCCAGGCTTCTTCAATTCTCACACATATAAACACCCCTTTTACCTTTCTTTCCTCCCACACAATTTTTTATATTTTATTATACATTTATATATATTTTCTATATACTATTCATTCTTGTTGCTCATTTGTAAGAACATTGTTCCTTTTTTATAATTTTTTTAAAAAAAATAATTTTTATCGGCCGATCGGTTGTTGGTGACAGAGCTCTCCACAAAAAGCTCTTTTTCTGCAAAGTGTCGATTTTGCTTGGATGGGCACTTTAATGTTTTTGTTGTTGTTGCTGCCAGTCATTGCTCTCCAACAACGGCAGGCCTTTTCTCTTTCTATATACTCTTCGTTTTTCTCTGGTTTTTTTTTGAAAAATACCTCTTCCCAACATCCCCATCAGAATTATGTAAAAGCTAATTAATATCAATATTAATTAAGTAAAATGTGTGTTGATCTCTTTTGTAGTTACCAATATTAGGAATTTAGCCGATCCGATTCCAGAAAATTCAGTAATTCTCGACGTTTTTTGGCCGAGATTCCGATTTTACGAAAGCGGGAATTTACCTATCCTTTTTTATGTCGGCTAGATTTGCGATATTTATGGCATATTGAGGATCTAGTATTAAATTTTTAGCTGGTTTTTTTCTGCTTTCTTCTGGGCCTCGAAATTTAGAAAACTTTAAAATTTAATTTTATTGTGAAAGAAATTGAAAATCTTAAACAGAGAATCTACTGAGAATCTTAAAAAATTTAGTTTTATTTTGGATTTTGGAATTTTTTTTTTGATTTTGAGGCCTATAATTACATCTAGTTAACGCCGCCTTACTGGCATCAACCTATAAAAATTTTGTTTAGAAAAAAGGTTGCCGCCTCTGATTTTCTAAACTTTTTATTGACCTTTATCTACTTGATCTTTGTATTTATTTTTAAAAATATTTTTAAATGTTGATCTTCTGGCTTCCAACTTGTTTTGGGTCCCCTTTCCAATTGTTTCCATCCTTAAAGCCTTTTGTACATCCCGCGGTGTCCCTTTCAATTTTTACCCATCCATTTTTTCAATGTCCCCTTTCCATCTCTCCATTTTCTTTCTAATTATTCAATTTTTACAGTTCAAACTTTAAATTTTTTCAAAGAAAACTGGCGACTAACAAAAACTCTTTTAAATTTTAGAAAAAAACGGAGGGAGAAATGTGAAATATAGGCGCTGTGGGAAAGTTTTTTTTGGTGAAATTCAAGTCATATTTACAGCTTCTTTTTTAAAGATTCATTTAAATTTAGGTATAAATGGCTACTTTATAAAAAATAAGGGATTTATCCTTTTACTCTATTTTCTCAATTTTTTCCCCTAAAATCATTCGACTTTTCTTTGTTTTTTCCTCATTATTCTTCACCTACTTCAATTTTCTTCATATCGCTTTATCTTCATTTTTCTTCTGTATCCTTCATCTTCATCTCCTTCTTCTTCCACTCTCACGAATCTCTTAAAATTTATTTAAAATTTTTTTAATCAATCTTGGCATCAAAAAATGATGTAAAAAGACAACAATAACATTAATTCTCTTTATTTTTCATTTAAAGGCCATATAAAAATTAAAAATATTTTTTAAAAGGGATCAAAGAAATTTACCGAAAAGAAACAAAATTTTTGAAAAAATATTTTTCAACAAAATTTTAAAATTTTGCCCTTGTAATGGGTTGACCCAAAAAGAATGAGCCCTTTTTTTCGAGCTAAATTTGGAATTTTACACTGGGAATTAATTCCTAGGAGAAGATCTCTTAATGGAGATCACTATCGTACAATTCTGGACCGCGTTCAAGTTGCCATTTATGGTTTCATAGTTCAGGGACGACGTTAAGGCCATGTTGTTTTCCATCAGGGAAACGCACCTGCGCACCCGCGCAAATGAAACTCGTGCCCACATTAATGAAACACTCGAATGGCAAATTCTACAACATCCGCCTTACTCAACGGACATTGCGCCATCTGATTATCACTTATTCCGGTCTATGAAAATTCATTTACGTGAAGTTCGGTCCCTAAATAATACGCAAATCAAAAATTGAGTAACTGATTTTCTAGAAGCAAAATCAGCTACAGCTTTTTATCAAAGAGGAATTCTAAAGCTGCCCAAAAAATGGCAAGAAGTAATAGATTATAATGGGCAATACATCATTTCTTGATTGTTTTTTGTTTTCTTATTATAGTAAATTATTTGCTTTATTCATAAAGGGCTCATTCTTTTTGGGTCAACCTATTATTTATTTCCCCTTTCTTCTTCTCTTCAAGTTCACAACAAAAATCACATCTTTTTTTCTCCAATAAAATACCTTTACTTTTTATTTCTCCAAAAATTCATTTTCGCCTCATTCACCCCTTAAAGCTCCGATTATCTTCTTTCTTAAACCTCTAGTTTTTTCATCTCATTTATTCATATACGGCCTTCCTTCACCTTCCTTTACTTTTTTGCATATACTATAACTTGGGCCGGAAGTTCACCTTTTTATTCTTCTTCATTTTTCACAATTTTTGCTTGATCATATTCTTCTTTTTTCTGATTTTATTTTTAATAATATTATTATTTTTCTTCCTTTTTTACAAGGAAATTGACCAATTTTTTAGATAAAGCTTCAGAATTTCAAAAAAAAATTTTTCTTGAACTTTCTAACATTAAAAAAGCAACAATTAAAAAAATATTTCTCGATTTCCTCCAATCATTTTCATTATTATTAACTCTCGAGCCATAGGACAGCATTTTATTGTTGTTCCCAGAAGGGGCGTGAAATGACTGACGTGTCCCCTTCTTTAAATAAGGGGGTAAAGCTTTCTTAAGATTTTTTCAAATCGATCTAAGGCTGGTTTTTAACCGATTGTTTCAATGTTCTTTTTGTGTGTAAATATTTTTTTAATGAATAATATTTTTCTTGGGAAAGAGAATATAAATTTTTTATAAATGTTAAAAAAGAGAGAATTGTTTTTTTAAAAAAAAATAAAAATGCCACTTTATCATTTAAAAAATTTTTATTTATGGTGTACTTTTGAAGGTGTACTTTATTTGAGAAATGAAACATTTTATTAGTAAATTAAAAAAATTTTTTTAATTGCTTATGTTGGTGAAAAAAATCTTTTCTAATTTTAAATAAAAATTTTTTTTTAATTTTTTTTTGGTGGAAAAAATATTTTTTTATTTTAAATAAAATTTCTAAAATTTATTTTTTAGCAAAATATAACAATGAATGGAATTTTTCTTTAATTAAAAAGATATTCTTCTACTAACATGAATTATTATTATTCCATTTTTCTTCTTCAATTCTCACTTCTATTATTTTCTTCTTTCAACAATGCCTATGATGAATCGTTAAAATTATCTCCTGATAAATCTGGATTAAGAAACCGTAACTTTTTTAATTAAAAAAAACGTTTTTTAATCAAAAAGGAGTTGAGATTTGACTGATTCCGGCCTCTATAACTTATGAAGGATAGGTACCTCCTAATGTTCTTGGTATCCAAAAAATCAAAATTCTCGACTGAATGATAAAAAAGTTAAGGGTACCAAAAATGTAAAGAACTAGCCTTCCCTGTTTGAGTTATAGGGCCGGGACTCATTTGAATCAGTTGAAAAATCAACCATTTACATTTAAATTTTTTTCAAGTTTGCCTCGGCACTTCAAATGGTCGGGCAATGGTGGATTATTTTTCTATGAACAGATATACATTTTTAAGAAAAGCTTATGAAAATTGTCGTCATGTAACTGGAAATCTTGAAATTGCTTACGTTTTTAAAGAGGATATTGAAAATGATTGGTTGCTACAAAAACAAGAAAATGAACAAAGAAATGTTACAAATATTTTGTTGAAACCTCGAGAACCTTTTTATTTTTTACAAAACTTGGAAGAGGTAAGAGGGAAGGATTTTTTAAATTTTTGGAAAATTTCTGAAAATTCCAAGAAAAATTTTTTTTATTAACAGATTTATGGATATTTATTCATTTATAATGTTACCGTTGAAGAAATTTCTTTACCATCACTTCGAGTTATTTGGGGAGAAAAATTACTGGAGGGAAGTGCAATAACTGTTGGATCATCATTAACATTGAGATATTTAAATATGCCTTCCTTAAGATGTTTGTTTGGTTTTTTTTTATTTTTAAAAATATTTTTAGCAATTGTTTCTGGTATTGTAAGAATACACGATTCACCACTTTTGTGTTATATGGAGCAAGATTTGACAAAAGATAACACTGATAATGATAAAAATGTTGATTATAAAGAAGTTTGTTTTATTTTTAAATTTTTTAAAAATTAATTTTCCAATTTTAACAGTTTCTTGGTGACAATTTTAGAGAAAGATTGGACTTGAACCCGTTTAGTGCTCAATGTAGAGCAGCACCAACATGTAGTAAACAATGCAGAGAAAAGAATTGTTTTGGGTAAAAAACTGATAAAAATTTGAAAAAATTAAATTTTAATTAATTTAAGGAGTCGGCCTGATCAATGCCAACATGGTAAAATTGAAGAAAAATTTTAATAAAAATTTTAAACAGAAAAAGCTTGCTAGAAATACACCCACTCCCTTTTCCTTATTTAAGAGAGAGAGAGAATGGGAAAGAAAAGAATGACGCTAGTTAGAATAGAAAAGGAAAGGAATGTGTGGAGAAAAATGGGAAACCCATTCAGAGCAGCCGTGTCCGAGTGGTTAAGGAGGTGGACTTGAAATCCACTGGGCTTTGCCCGCGCAGGTTCGAATCCTGTCGGCTGCGAATAATTTTTTTCGTCGTTTAAATTTTTTATTCTTCCCAAATCTAAAAAGAATGTGTGGTTAAAATTGGAAAATAAATTTATAGCAGTCGTGTCCGAGTGGTTAAGGAGGTGGACTTGAAATCCACTGGGCTTTGCCCGCACAGGTTCGAATCCTGTCGACTGCGAATAATTTTTGGATTAAGTAGTTTTTGTTTTTTAATGAAAATTTAAATTTTATCCTTCTATTAGAGAGGTTTAAAATTTTTTAAAATTTTTAGTTTATCGAAAAAATTGTCAAGAAGAATGTGAAAGCAGATCATGCTATATAGATGCCCATGGAATTAGCAGATGTTGTGATGAAGCCTGTGTTGGAGGGTGTGAAGGAGAAGGACGTGGGAAATGCATTGTACGAGAGTTTTTTTTAATTTGATTTTTGGAATTAAAATTCAGCAGGTTTAAAAATTTTTTAAAATTTTTTAGGCTTGTCAAGAACTTGAGGAAGATGGAAGATGTGTGTCACAGTGTACAGGAACACAAAAGTATTAATTTTAAAAAATTTGAATTTGTTCAAAAAATTTTTTATCTCTTCAGATACAACAGAAAACAAAAAATCAACGAACTCATTCCAAAATCCAAAGCAAAATATGCTTATGAAAAGCATTGCCTACCTGAATGCCCTCCTGGTACATTAATTGAATCGTCTAGTTGTGTGGCTAGATGTTCGCCAGGATTTTATCGAGATCCAAAAATAGATCCGCGGAAATGTATTCCATGTAAAGAGAAAGAATGTCCAGTTGTTTGTCAATTTCCGCCTCCGGTAAAAAATTTTTTTGAAATTTTTTAAATATTTTTTAAACTTTAGGGAGTGGATATACTAAATTCTGGGAATATTCATGTACTTGAAAATTGCACGGAAGTTGAAGGTTTTTAAATAATTTTTAAAAATTAAAGTTTTTTTGGCATTTTTAACTAAGGCTCGTTATTACTGACAATGAGGTCCGATTCTACGGACGGAGAAGTCGGGGAATTCGGACTGCGGGGATGGAGAACAGAGGCTCTGAAAATTAAAATTAAAAAAATCTCCCCAGAAAATTCCTTTCCCCTGGGACGGGGATCGAACCATACTTAAAATTAAATTTTAAAAATTTTTAAATTTAAATCCTCTCATTTTATAAGAATTTTAATTTCAATTTAAAGGCTATATTACAATTATTGACCAATCCTATGTAGAAATTTCTCAATTTGCGGATGAGAAAGAATTGTAAAAATAAATTTTTTAAAATTAAATTAATTAATTTTTAGTATTCGATTTGAACAAGCGGAGGCGGAGGTACAACCAACATCACAAAAATTGTTTGCTCCTTTAAATGCTTCTCAATTAGAAATTTTAAAATCGGTGAAAGAAATTTTTCTTAATTTTTTATAAATTAATTCTGTTTTCAGATAAAAATAATAACCGGCTTTTTAGCAATAGAAGGCTCAAATTTTAAAAATCCGTTAAGGCCATCTAACCTAAGTTTTCTTGAAAATCTTGAATTAATTGAAGGACGCCAACTCTTTTTTGAGGTAAGAAAAGAAGGAATTTTTCTCTAAAAAATTTTTTAATTTTTAAAGAAATATGCTCTCTTAATTTTTGGAGATCCACAATTAAAATTTTTGGGATTACGTTCACTTTCTAATATAACACATGGAAGTAAGGCTTCGTAATTTTTACGTAAAAACTTTTTTATTAAAGATGTTTTTGTGAGAAATAATAGTAATCTTTGTTATTCACAATCGATCCCGTTTAAACAACTTTTTGGAATTAATCAAAGCTATTGGATTAATAATGGGAATGAAACAGATTGCGGTAATCTTTCAGGATTTTTAATGAGTACTAATTATGTGGTGGCAAAATGTCTTTTGACAAAATGTCCAGTGACGAAATATCTTGTGACTAAAAGGCGGATAGACATTTTGATTAAATTTTTTAATTAGCTACTTTTTAAAATTTAATTTTTTTTTTTATTTTAAGATCAACATCAATGTGATCAAAACTGTGGTAGAGTTTTTTTTAATAAAATTCTCAAAGATTTTCCTAATTAAATTTTTCAGCAAAAGAATTTGGTTGTTGGGGTCCTGGACCAGAACAATGTGTTAAGTGTAAAAAATATTTGCGTGAAAAAGAATGTTTGGATAAATGTCCAGATCAAGGGTATTTTTATTTTTTTAATAATTTTGTAAGGAAAACTAGGCAGGGGTTTAAAGTAGCATCCTGAAACTTGTCGGTAGAGCACCACATGTGTGTCAGGGAACTCGATCGACTTTTTTCTCAACCTATGACATTCCTGTTATACGGTGAACGAGGAAGCTCACTAATTACTGGTAGGAGGGAGCAGGATCAACGCGTGCTCGGAACTAAACTTTTATCACTTAATATTATTTTTTAAAGTTATTTTGTTGACAATTCCAAACCTTTAATTTGTCAACCTTGTAATGATCAATGCAAAATCTGTCACGGTCCATTACCTACACAATGTTCTGTCTGCAAAACTTATCATATTTGGATTTTACAAAATTCAATAAATAATACAAGCAATAGTTTTGAATATTATTTTGATGAATTTGACGAGAATGAATTTATAACTACGACTACCCCAAAAGAACAAATTGCTGATGGAAGTTGGACAATTGGGGCAGTTAAAAAATGTTTTTTATAATTTTTTTTACTTCAATTTTTTGTTTCCTCTTTTTTAGGTGTTCAATATTGCCCAAATTCAACAACATATTCTCTTGGATTTGAATGCCGTCCGTGTCATGAAGCATGTTTTGAAGGATGTACTGGACCTATGGATATTGTTGGTAACAATGGATGCAATAAATGTTTGTATGGATTGAGGGATGAACTTGGAAATGTTTGTTGATTATTTAAATTTTAATTAAAATTTTAAAATTTAAGTTGCGTTGTCTCAAAGGCAGTGAACCTTCAAGCGATGTTTGTGGCTTTAAAAATACTTTTGGTGAAAATTATTTTCTTGCTTTAGAACCGGCAAATTCTCTAACTAAATTTGTATGTTTTTATTATTTTTTAAGAAATTTTTCTATTTTTAGTCTTGTCGTAAATGCCGTCCAGAATGTAAAAATTGTACTCGTGATGGTGTAGTAGAAATGACTTCTGATGGAAGTACTCCAGTTTGTAGTTGTGCCTATTGGCGTTTGGAACCAGCTATTGTTAATAATAATCGTCCGACAGAATGTTCAATGGATTGTGGAAAGTTTGCAAAATTTTTTTAATTTTTGTTATTTTTTTTGCATATTTTAGAGGCTCTTATATTCTAAAATATCCAAATGAAACTATTTCTGGTATTGGAGAATGTAGACGTTGCCATCCATTTTGTGATATTCACCGGTCTTGTTATGACGATGGGCCTTCAAATTGTGAGAAATGTGCTCATGGTGGAATTTTAGATAAAAATGGGACTGTTAAGGTTTTTAAAAAATTTTTTAAAAATTAAAAAATTCTTTTAAGTGTTTAAATGCATGTCCTCCAGAATTGCCATATGCTGATGAAGAAGGAATTTGTCAACTTATTGACCGTGAACGTTCTCGAAGGCAGAAACAAATAAAGATTGTTGGAGGAGTGTTTTTGGCGATTATATTGTTGGCTGTTTTGATTGGAGTTTGTTTTTTTTGTAAAATTTTTTGTTTCATTTTCCTTTGTATTTTTTAGTTTTTGGTTTGGCGTTGTCTAATTTATCAGAAAAAATATATGAAAGAAGTACAGATGCATTTGCCAGGTTTCTTAATATTTAAAAATGTATTTTCCTAAATTCCAAATTTCAGAAATTCCTCCATTGGATCCATTAAAAGTTACTCAACGTCCAAACATGCGTCGTCTCAATCTTATTCAAGTTAATGAATTGGACTTTTTGCCTGGGAAATCAACTGTTTTGGGTCAAGGAGCGTTTGGAATTGTTTATGCTGTTTGTTCATACTCTGAGTTTTAAAAAAATTTTTATTTTCAGGGTAAATGGCGTCCACCTGGCGTAAAAGTGAACATACCTGTAGCAATAAAGGTTTACTTTTCAATTCAAAATTTTTTTTAAAAATTTTTTCTTAGGCAATAAGCGCTCTAGATAGTCGCCTCAACGAAAAAGAAATGTTGAGAGAAGCAGGAATAATGCATTCTGTACAACATGAACATTTACTTCCTGTGGCAGGAATATGCCTTGGAGGTGGTGGAGGACTTAAAATTGTTACTTTATTGCGTCCTTTGGGTTCTTTACTAAAATTTTTTGAACAATATAGTTCTCAACTTGGTTCTAAACAATTAATGTTGTATTGCTATCAGGTTTTCTTCTTTAATAAATTTTTCAAAATTTTTAAAAAATTTAAAAAAGATCTCCTCAGCAATGGAATATTTAACAAAACGTGCAATTGTTCATCGTGATTTGGCAGCTAGAAATGTTTTGGTAAAAAGTGCTTTACATGTTGAAGTTACAGATTTTGGATTAGCAACAATGTTACAAAGACCTAATGATTCTGTAATTATTGAAGGAAGAGTAGCTGTAAAATGGCTGGCTCCAGAAAGTTTAAGACATTCAATTTTTAATCAACGGACAGATGTTTGGTCATTTGGAATAACTTGTTGGGAAATTTTAACTGTTGGAGCCTGCAGTCCCTACAAAGAATTGAAGTTACCACGTGAACGTTTAGCTAAAGAACTTGTTGATAAACTTGAATGTGGTTATAGATTAGAACAACCAAATAATTGCAGTCAAGAATTATATCAGGAATTGCTTAATTGTGAGTTTTCTTTAAAAAATTTTGGCTCTGATATGGTTTAGTAGTCCAACCAGATTTTAGTAGTCCAATGAAGGTTTACGATTACAATCAAGGTTTTTATGGGTCCAATCAACTTTCTGGGACTTATATTAAACCTTCATTGGATTCATAAACTTTGTCTGTACTAACAGACTTTCATTGTCCTCATAAACTATACCAGAGTCAAAATTAAAAATATTTCTTCAAAAGGTTGGCTTCCTGATCCAGAATCACGACCAAGTTTTAGACAAATTAAAGAACGCTTTGAACAATTTTGTCGTGCTCCCCATATTTACATTCAAGAACGAAGAAATCGCCTAATTGAGAATCAACAAAAACAACAACAAATGGAATCGCGTATAGGAAGTATTGGACAAAGAGAAATGATTGCACGTTTACTTCATGATAGTGATTTTGCTGATCCTGTATTTGTAGATCCTGCTGAATATAGCAATAATTCTTTGAATAATCGAGGTTTTTTTAAATAAAATTTTTTTTTAATTTTAATAAATAAAAGATGTCAGCAACAACAACAGTCCCCAACGTGAAAATACAAATAATACAAACACAACAATACTTTCTGATGATGAATGTTTCTTTTCGACTGTTGAACTTGTGCATAATAATAATAAAACACCATCGCCCAGAAACGTTTATTTTTAATTTTAAAATTTTTTTAAAATTTTTTAAAAATTTTTCAAGTGTGGTGTAAAACCAGATCGTCATGGAAGTGTCGCTACAACAATTTCTTCTCGTTATAAAAGTGATCCACTTGGAAGTGGTAGTCGAAAATGTTCACATTCCTCTTGGTCTCGTGATGAAGATGGATTACCTTTACCAAAACTTTCTTTAACTGATGAAGATAATTATTTGATGCCAATAAAAAAACTTGGTTTATTCCTTGATGAAGAAATTGAAAAATTTGGAGAAGAGGATGAGGAAGAAGAAAATGATGATGATGAGAATGCTACACTTTATACACCTGTTGTGGAAGGAAAGAGGGATACTATTAAAAGTCTGTTTTTATTAAAGTTTAACCCCCGCCCCTGGGGACAGATTTTGGCTGGTCTCCCATCCCCGTCCTTGTAGCAAACTCCAAAAAAGCAATTTTTTGAGAGAACATTTTTTTATCTTATAAATTATTTTTTTAGAATTATTTCCCTCAACACTTCCTTACTCTAATACAACAACTTTATATACAAATCAATTTGGGGAATATATAAATGAAAAGAACGGTGAAGAAGAAAAGAAGAATGTTGTTGGTGTCATCAAAGGTTCTGGTAATAATATTGAAAAGGATGAAAAGAAAGGAGGTTATGTGAATACTAAAGGTGAGGAGGACGAAAAGGTAATGACCGCCGTTAATAATAAAAATATTAATAATAATTATGAAGACAACAACAATTTAATAGAAAAACGTGACAATAATAATCAATTGTTGTTGCGGACTGAAACTGAAACAGTTATTTAAATGATATTTATTATAAGTGTGTGTGTGTGGGTGTGATTGATGTGAAAATACTTGAGAAATTTAATTTTCTAAAAAAAGTCTGGAGAATTTTATGAGGGTGGGGAGGGGTAAAATTTATTATAGTACACAAAAATATTTATCAAATATTTTTACCCCCCTTTATCATCAATCACCCACCTTTTTTCTCTTTTTTCATTTTTTTCACTTTGTCCAAAAAACAACAAAACAAAAACACATTCCTTTTTTCCTAATTTTTATAATGTGCAAAATCCTTTTTTATGTAAAAAAATATATTGCCTCTATTTTTAAGACTTAAAATTTTTAAGAAAGTAATTTTTAATAAAAATTTTTCTAGGATTTTCTAGTTAAAAAAAGTTGAAAAAATAGAGGCGCCTAACAAAATTAATACGGTTTTTACAAAATATAATTTTCATACTCGTGCAATTTTTAATAATTTAATCTATAAATAAATATTAATTTAAAATTGTTTTTTAATTTTCTATAAATTTTGTTCTGTCATTAATTATTATTTTTTTGCTAGCAATCAATAAATATTTTTTATAATTTTAAAAAACATGGAACTCACATTATTGCCATATATTGTTTAATAATTGAAAGAATTTTTAATAAAAAAAAACGAGAATGCTTGACTGGTTAACTGGACACAGCAAACCGTTACGTGTAAAGGTGTCTACAATGGAAGCGGATTTGAATGCAATTAGTATGGACAGAGATGCTTTAGGACAGGATTTATTTGACACAGTCTGTAAAATTATTGGACTACGAGAAGTTTGGTATTTTGGACTTTGCTTTACAAATAGGAAAGGTTATACTTGTTGGTTACAACTTGATAAAAAGGTTTTTTTGTTCAAATAAAAATTTAATTTTTTTGGATAGGTTAGGGATCATTCTATGCCTAAACAATCAGATGGTTCTTTACATTTTCTTTTTCTTGTTAAGTTTTTTCCAGAGTCTGTAAAGACTGAATTGATACAGGATTTGACGAGGTTTGATATAAATGATTTAACAATATTTTTATTTTTTAAAGGCATCTTTTCTTCCTTCAAATCCGTCAATCAATTCTTTCAATGGATCTTTATTGCCCTTCTGAAGCGGTTTAATTCTTTACTTTTTCTTTAATTCTAGCAAATTTTAGGCAATTTTGTTAGCCTCATATGCAGTACAAGCAATGTATGGTGATTACCAAAACGATGAAAATATTGAGTTGGACTTGACCAAATTAATTCCTCCCTCAGTTATTCAACAATATGATATGAGTGCGGATATGTGGCATGAGAAAATTGGTATTAAAAATTTTTTTGTTTTCCTATAATTTTTCGATTTAAGGCAATTGGTGGGCTAATAATAGCGGACTTAGTCGTGAGGACGCCGAAGAGGAGTTTTTATGTATTGCTGAGGAATTGGATATGTATGGGACTTCATTTTACAAAATTCTGGTTGGGTATTTTTTAAATATCTTCAGAAATATTTTCAGAATCAACGTGGCACCGAATTGCTGTTGGGGGTATCTGCGCAAGGATTGGGTTTGTTTTTGAGTCAATTCTAGAATTTAATGGGTACTCTTGTGTTATATGCCCCCATTTTTATAGCTCCATTTCCTATTTTACAAATTGTAAAAACTTATCCGGAATATAATAAATATATTTTACAAATTGTAAAAAGTTTTCCGGAATATAATAAAATATTTTACAAATTGTAAAAAGTTTTCCGGAATATAATAAAATATTTTACAAATTGTAAAAAGTTTTCCGGAATATAATAAAATATTTTACAAATTGTAAAAAGTTTTCCGGAATATAATAAAATATTTTACAAATTGTAAAAAGTTTTCCGGAATATAATAAAATATTTTACAAATTGTAAAAAGTTCGGAATATAATAAAATATTTTACAAATTGTAAAAAGTTTTCCGGAATATAATAAAATATTTTACAAATTGTAAAAAGTTTTCCGGAATATAATAAAATATTTTACAAATTGTAAAAAGTTTTCCGGAATATAATAAAATATTTTACAAATTGTAAAAAGTTTTCCGGAATATAATAAAATATTTTACAAATTGTAAAAAGTTTTCCGGAATATAATAAAATATTTTACGAATTGTAAAAAGTTTTCCGGAATTTAATAAAATATTTTACAAATTGTAAAAAGTTTTCCGGACCATTTTCTATGTTTAAAGAGAAATTAGAAAAGAAGGCATTGAGAAGGAAAGAAGAAGGAAATGTAGTCTATAAAAATTGGGGGGCATATAACACAAGAGTATCAACTAATGAATCACTTTTATAGGAATATACGAACCAGATAATAAACTTTCTCCTCGGCCATTCTTCCCTTGGACAGAAATAAAATGCATTTCTTTTAAAAACAAAATGGTTTGGAATTTTTATTTTAATTTTATCAACTTGATTATTTTTTCAGTTCACAATTTGTACAGCAGACAAAAGCAAAATTCGGTTCCGAGCTGAGGATATGAGCATAAATCAATCACTTTTGGATTTGTGTGTAGGAACGCACAATTTATATCTTCGACGACGACAGCCAGATTTACTTGAAGTTCAACAAATGAGGATTCAAGCACAAGAGTAAGAAAATTTTTTAGAGAATAAGGAGGAATAATGGGAACAAAGTCGAAAACAAGTTAAACAAAAAATTTTTGATTTATTCAATTTTCGGCAGCGACAGCGCAGATTGGCCGAGCAAACTCGTCTTCAACGAGAGCGGGAACAAAGGGTTCAGGCAGAATCAGAAAGGGATAAGTTGAGAACAGAATTGGGACATTTGGCAGAACAATTAAATACTATGCAGGTTCTTTTAAATTTTTTTGAAATTTTTTCCAAAATTTTTATTCTTTAGATTGTAATGAAGAATGCAGAAGAAAGTCATCAATTAATAGCAGAACGTGCAAGAATTTCAGAACAAGAAGTTTTTGAGATGACAAGGCGTGCAAACGATGCTGAAGCAGAAATGCAAAGAATTAGACATTCACAATTACGGGCAGAAGAAAGAAAATTGGCTTTGGAAAGAAAATATAAGGATGCTGAATTGCTTGCTAATAGATTGATTCAACAACAACAACAATTTAATAATAATAGCAACAACAGCAGCAACGGAGTTATTCCAATGACACAGGCAAAATTTTTATTTTTGTTAAGTTTCCACCTTATCAGTGCCCCCACCTTACATTAATGGGCTTCCCTCTTATAGACAAGCCTTCATTATCATTTTTAATCTTTCAACTTTTCACTTTAAGCCTCCACCTTATCATTCATTACTTCACATTATTATTTTTCTTTCTTAAGCCTCTACCTTATCCTTGTTTAGCCCCCACCTTATTACTGTTCCACGTTATCCTTGTTAACTCTCCACTTTATGACTCTTCAATCTTCACCGTTATCATTTTAAGCCTCCACCATATCATGAACAATTACGCCGATCCAATCCTTGTAGCAACAATTCTGTTAAACATATTGCTACAAATTCTTCATCATTAGAAGAAGAAACAACAGTCGAAACTGATGAAGGTGTAGATGAAGGAAATATAATAGAACATTTACAACAACAACAATTTCCTTTAATTAATGGAATAAATGGAGGAAATTCTTCTTTATTACTTCCACCACAACCACCACCACCACTCCCGTCAACAAATCCTCCACCAACACAAAATAACAACAAATTATTTACAAAAATGTCTCTGTCGTCACAACAAAGAAAACACCAACAGAAACAAAATGTTGAAGATTTTAATGGAATTAATAATAATGGGAATGGGAATGGAGGTGTTTTTGCTTCTTTAATAGCTACAGAACAACAAAGACAAACGATTAGTAATGAACTTCAACATATAATGTAAATTAAATTTTTATTGGGGTTGTTGACGACTGATAACTCTAATTTTTATTTTAAAATGATTTTTTTTTTAATTTTTCAGAGCTTCTACATATGCAGAATTAGAGCAGTCAAGGTTTTGGATTAAAAAATTTTTTTTCTTAACCAAAAGAATTATTTTATAGAGGTGACTGGCAAGCAAAGGACCATTCATTACGTGAAAAACTTGCAGGTTTTATTTTTTCTTTTTTTGAATTTTTAAATTTAATTTTCAACAGATTTCCGTTTGGAATTGGAAGCTCTAAAAAAAGAAGGCATGGAAACTGAGCAAGATAAATTATTTGCACAAAAAGTTGCAGCAACAGGATGTTTTGATAAACATTCAACTTTGAGAAAGGTTTGGGAATTTATAGAAATTTTTTAAAAATTAATTTGGACTCTAGTCAAATTCGGCTTGTGGTCTTAAAAAATTTTGATTGTGAGAGAGACGACCAAAAAAAGATTTCCTTTAAAAATGACTATAAAAATAGGTTTGAATCAGTGTTGTTTTGTTTGTTTGTGTGTGTGCATGTTGTGGTTTAGACAAACAAATTGTTTGTTTGGATTGTTGTTTGAGGATTTTATTTTCCGTAATGTTTTTGTTGTTGTTTTTTGTTGTTTAGACAAATTGTTTGTGTTGTTGTTTGTTGGTTTGTTTGTTTGTTGTGTATATTATTTGTTGTTGTTAATGTTAGAAAAACATTGTCACGAACAAATCGTTTGTTTGTGTTGTTGTTTGAGAATTTTCTTTTCTGTGATGTTTTTTTAGTTGTTGTTTGTTGTTGTGTTTATTTGTTGTTGTTGTTGGTGCTAGAAAAACATTGTTTTGATTTATAATTTCCGTATTCTGTTTTTGAACGTTTTTCAATTTGGTTTGAATTGTTTTCTTACAATTAGTGTTTCTTTAAAAATTTCAAGTTGGTTAAAACCTTTAAAAAATTTATTTATTTTTCAGAGTGGTTTTGGATCGTCTAAATCAAAAGCAAAAATGTTTGATGAAATGACTCATTCTAAATTGACATCAAATACAACAACTACAAAAACAGCTATACAACCTTAAAAATGCAGGAGTATATTTTTGCCTTAGTTAAATTTTATAAAAGTGATTTTTAAAATTTTTTTAGCATAATCTTTCAAAACACAAAATTAATCTTTTATTTGTGCCTTCTTTTCAGTTTATTCTTTTGCTCATGTTTTGTATCTTTTTTAATTAGTCAAACAGATCCAAAAAGGGGATTTTTATTTCTTCAAAAACTAAAATTACTGGATCCCTTTAATTATTCACTAGAGATCGGGACCTTGATTTTTCCTTAACGATAGATCAAGAATCTGATCAAGGGTTTTTTAAAATCTCGATCTAACTTTTTCCCTCTCCTTTCCCCAAGTTTTTCTCTTGCCATTTTTTTAAATTTTTATTGTTAAATTATTAATTTAATAATTAATATAATTTTATTTTTTTTAATACCAAAAATATTTGGATTTTAATTCCATTTCTAATACAAATATATATTGAATGTGATTAAAGAAATAATGCAAAACAAAAATGGGCTTATAAAATAATTTTCAAGGAATAAATAATTGCAGGAACAAAACAATGCGTGGTATGTTTAAAATTGAATATTTGATTTTAAAAATTAAATTATCGGTCAAACCCCTTCCGAGTATAGTTTCTATTTTTTCTTCCCACCACGCTCTTTCAACATTAACTGAACATTTGCTTCATTCACAAAATTATAATAGGCCAAAGTAAAATTATCTTTGAGGAATGTATTCTAAAAAATGAAAAAGGATTGAGGGGATTATTTTAAAAATTAAAAAAAAACCTGATAAACAAGCTTGGCCTTTGATGCGGGTACAGTCGTTTGTTCCTGTATTAGCGATTTGAGTGCGCTTACCTGAAAAATAATTTTTAATTAAAAAATGTTTTTAAGCCTTACAGTTGAAGTAATCTCCAATTGTATTGTAAATGTTTGTCCTTTAAGATTCCATTCATCTGTCTGTGGTGTGCTCAGCTTTACAGTTATTTGGCCGGAAACTTTTTGAAGCCAAAGCTCTTCTGGTTCCAAAGCATCATCTACGCGGAATTTCTTTGCGGCAGAAGCTCCACTTTCATCAGGTGGGGGTGGAGGAGGCATAAACCCCCCTTGCGGGTGATGGGCCATTGCCATGTGTGGAGGAAGTCCAGGCATTTGCATGCCCATTGGAAGCATGTGTGGTGGAGGAGGCATCCCAGGTAATGGCATGCGTGGCATGCGCATTTGTTGTTGTGGTGGAATGCCAGGTATAATTTTGGCAACATTTGAGACAATTGGTGGTTGCAAGTGTGGAGGGCGCTAAAATTATTTTAAAAATATTTAAAAGGTTAAAAAATTATACGGGTGGAAGTGGAGTTGGCACAGATGTTGTTGCCGGTGGTGGCATTGGAGTGGTGGTCGAAGCTGTTGTTGCTGATGCAGTTGTACTTGGTGTACTTGGCGCAAAACGATCAGCAGCTGGATTTGGTAAATAACCATGTTGGCGTTGAATTTCTGTTATTTGCTGTTCAAGAGAGACAGCTTGTTGAGCCGCTCGCGTTGTGGCATCGATTGTAGCTTGTTGGCCGTCCCAAATTGTTTTAGGGTCAGAACGAGGCAATTGACGTTCCTCTTCACCCAATTTCTTTCCAATTATCGTTTGTTCTACTCCCTTTTCTCCAATACCGAAAATATCAGTACGTCGCTCTGCTAATTTTGCAATGTTTCGTGAGATTTCTGTGCCAGATGCTGTGATCGGATCCTCATCTTGTCGTTCCATTTGCTCTCTATTTTTAGGGGAATATTTTTAATAATTCTAAAAACATAAAAATTCACAAACCTGTCTCTCTGTTCCTTAAATTGAGGGTCAACGGTATTGTACCGCACATGCTCATGAAGTTTATCAGCAGGAATGCGTTCATTTGTTAAAGGTGAAATGATGAATTTTTCATTTTGTCCTTTGGCCACTATGCCGGAACGGGCTTAAAAATTGAAGGAGATAATCTTTCTAATTTTGAAAATTTATTGATTACCCTTTTTAGGATCATAATCACGAATTACAACATTCCCAGCAATAGGTGCTGCTGGTGTTGGTTGAGTAACAGTAGAGCCAGCATGTTGCTTCTCAGTAATATCCATCCCATCAACTTGATGTTGTATATCATCAAAATCTTCTCTATTTTTCTGCTTCTTTTTCTCTTCTTCATCTTCAGAATCTGATTCATCCATATCCATTGCAACACTTTCAGCTGCAGCTTTAGCCGCTTCAGTTCGTTGTTGAAGTAAAATTCGAGCTCCAACATCTCGAGGAGTACAAAGGGAAGGTAAATTCACTGAAATAGAGTTCAAGGCTTAAATTTCTATAGAAAAATTCCTTACAAGTTTCAGAAGGTTGAAAATCAACTGTTTGAACAACTACAAAATCATGCCAATCGATTTGATTATAAGCCATCCTTTCTTGTTCAACTTCAGCATCTTCTCTGTCTTTAACTGCACGCTGAAATTTTTCCCAACCAACGCGATACCGAACGTCTTCCAAAATTTTTTTGTGTGAAGCAGAATTGCGTAGTTCATCGTACACATTCCTTGGTGGAATTATTACCTACAAAATAAATATGGGAATATTTCGAAGATAAAAAGGAAACATTACTTTAGTGTATTGCTCCACTAATTTTGTAAAATATTGAAAATTGGAATGTTGAGGTTTTAAAAAGTCAAATTGAAAATTGCGGACCTCTCGATTCATTAATTGTGTGAGAAATTGACGTCCATTTCTTGCAACAAATAGAGCGGTAAGTTGGATAAGATCCCTTAAAAAAGGTTAAAAAATTAATTTATGAGGGATTGAGTTTGGCGGAAGGTTCCTCCCCTCCCTAAGGAACCTCTCCCCCTTGTCCCCCCACTCCCCGTTATTAGCATAAAACATACAAATCAAAAGCGTTTATCGTCGATGGATCAGCACAAAATTCAAAAGGTTTTGGCGGATTTTTTGGAACAAATTCAGCCTTTTGTATATGTTCACGAACAGCATCAGGAACTTTAAGTTTGGTTAATAATTCAGCAGAAGCAACTCCCGTCTCAAATTCCTTCACTTTATTCTTGTAGTAAGCATGGTACGGGTCAACAGGTGTAAGAAAATTAAAACGTATATTTGAAGCTTCTCTTTCACGAATTTTATTTTCAAATTCAACACCATTACGTGCAACGAAAAGAGCAGTTTTGTCAACAATTGCTGAAGAAAAATAGAAAATTTTTAAGCTCAAATTAAAAAAAACTTCGAATGTCAGGAGGTGGAATAATTAACCCAACAATTTGTTGACCACTCATTGAAGGTTCTTTATTCATTGAATCTTCCTCACGTCCAGAAACCTTTATAGGTTGTTGTGGAGCTTGCACCAAAATTTCTATTGGAGGCATTTTTCTTTATTTGTTTCAATTAAATTGAAAAATTTCTAAATTAAAAAAAATTAAAAATAGTTAAAGAAAAAACAAAAAAAAACTAGGTATTTACAGCAATTTACACGACCTCCCATTTATGACTTTTTTTTGACTTAAACTTTATTTAAATTTATCCGACAACGATGTTAGTGGATTCCCTTTCGTTGTATATTTTTAATTTTTGAATAAATAAATTAAAAAAATCTGATTCTTGTTCTAGGTATGCGACTAATAGGAAATTTTTGTTCGTTAGGACGAATTAGAAATGGGACGAAATGGGGATTTGACGAATTGGATATTTGTAGACGAATTGGTTGATTTTGTTCATTGTTACGAATTGGGGATGGGCCTTATTTAATTAATTTATTTCGAAATCTAGAAAACACCAAACAGTCCAGAATATTTTTCCAGCGACAAATTGGCTTGTCCTTTCTTTTTATTCGCCCGAAACCAAAATGGTCACGAGCCGTTCACGAGCATTTCGGTAAATTGTAACTTGTTCTTCCGTTTGAGATTGCCTGCGATTTCTTTTATTTACGTAAAAAGAATAATCGGTTGGATGAATCACGCATTAATTCCCTTTTCTTCAAATACTCATATTTCTTTAAATGTAATCAAAAAATTGTTTTGATTACATCTTCGTTTATTTTAGCTTTTCTTGTTATACGATTTAATTTATATTTGGCGATCTTTCAGAATGTTTATTCTTGTTCCTTAGAAATTCCCTTTCCTTGTTGTTCGTTAAAAACACCTTAAAAATTAATCTGAAAGATAGCCATCCATTTAAAATATTTTTTAGCCCCCTTCCCAAACAAAAAATGGCCATATTTGGCATGTTTAAGAATTTATTGCTTGGACAACAGTCTAATAATCAATCTACCAATCATAAACTTCCCTCAATAATACTAAAAGATGTTAACCCAATGGATCATTGGAAAGTGCTTGGAGAGATTGCTGAAGGTGCTTTCGGAAAAATTGAGAAAGTTTGCAGTTTAAGTAATTCTCATTTGATTGCAGCTTCAAAGGTTTTTTGTAAATTACAAATTTTTAAATTTTATTTTTAATTTCAGGCTATTTCACCTCAAGAAGGAGAAAATTTGGAAGATTTTCTGGTTGAGATTGAAATTCTTACACTTGCAAAGGAACACGAAAATATTGTTGGACTTTATGCTTGTTATTTTTTTGAGGAAAAGCTTTATGTAAGTAACTTTGTTTAAAATGCAAAATTTATTTTATAGATGATATTGGAATATTGTGCTGGTGGTGCAATTGATTCTATAATGGCCGAATTGGATAAGCCTTTAACTGAGCCACAAATTGCTTATGTTACACATGGTTAATAAATCATTTTAATCACACGAAATAAAAGAAATTTTTTCTAGGTGTTGTCAAAGCTTTGGAATTTCTTCATTCACAAGGTCGCAAAAGATTTTATTTTTTCTCCAATCTTTTTCTTTTTAGCTGTTATTCACAGAGATCTGAAGGCTGGGAATATTTTGTTGTCTGCGGATGGAATCGTCAAGCTTGGTATAATTTTATTGAAAATTGCACATTTAGAAAAATTTCTTCAGCTGATTTTGGCGTATCTGCAATAATGAAAAATCATCAGAAACGTGATTCTTTCATCGGAACTCCTTATTGGATGGCACCGGAAGTGATTATTTGTGAAACTTTTAAAGATCAACCTTATGATTCTAGAGGTTATTTTTATTGAAACGAGATTTATTTTTTTATTTTAGCCGATATTTGGTCACTTGGCATAACTCTCATCGAAATGGCACAAATTGAACCACCAAATCATAATATGAATCCAATGCGTGTAGTCATCAAAATTCAAAAATCGGAACCTCCAACTCTTGCACATCCACAAAGATGGACTTCAACTTTCTCAGAATTTCTTCGAAAATGTCTTGTAAAAAATCCTGATGAACGTTGGAATGCTCAACAATTGCTAAATGTATGTCTTACTAAAAATTTTTAAAATAAAATTTAAAAAATTTTTTTAGCATTCTTTTATTCGAACTGCTACCGATCGACGGCCTATAATCAAATTATTGTGTGAAAAGAATGCAGATGTATTGGAGGAAATAATTGAAGTTGTTGGAGCAAACAAGTATGTACTTAATGATTTTATTAAAAACCATAAATTTACCAAAGTCTTGGGAGGTATTTCTTCTAATTCCCATTTAATTAATAATAATCTTCCTCTTATTCCAAATCGGCATTAGTTTAGTCTTTAATTAAATTAATATTTTTTTCTTAATTTTATCTTTTATATAATTAGCCGTTTTATTTAGTCAAAAATTCTAGTCATTTTTTGCTTAAGCATTTCAGTCTTATTTCGAAAGAAAATCGGCTATTTCTCTCTTATCTTGTAGTAATTTTAACTTCTCTATTTACTCTCAAATAAGTTTATCTCATAATATAACTGCCATATTTTTTTATTTGCTTATAACGATAAATTAATTTATATTTTAATTTTTTTATTCGATTACAGGTTCATCTTAAGGCACTTTGTCGTTAAGAAATTGCCTATCAAATAAATATCTAATTCAATTAACATGTCTTAAAACTTACATTTTATTTTTTATTTTATGCCAAGTCTTCTTAAGAAAAATCTTTTTTAGCTTGTCTGTCATAATTATTATGATTTGGCATTTAATTATTTTAATTAGGAATTTTCTCTTTTAATTAAGTAAATATTTTTTTATTTTTGTCTAGATTTTATTTTTTTAAAGAGTTCACATCTCTTAATATTTTTCTCTAAAAATTTAATTTATTATTTTTTCTAATTTAAAAAAATTTTTTAATTCCAGTATTGAAATCGATAGTATAGCTGATTCTGAAGAACGTGAAACGTGTTCAGATATTGACAGCATCAGCACTATTAATAATGCTAATAATAATCCTCTTAGAACTTCAATTGAAAATATTCCAAACTTTCGTCATGCTCCTTTTGAACCGACAACATCGACAGTTGTTATTGACTCTAATAAAGATAATAACAACAAAAATAATGAGCAATCACAACAACAACTTGTTATTGTTTCTAAGAAAAATTATGAAGCTCCACAACCACCTCCAGAACCCCCAGCACTTTTGCCTTGGGGAACAACACCTGATGATGATGTTATAAATGCTAGAAGTCATAGTACCTTAAGCCCTTCTGGGCAAGAAGCTATTCAGATTTTGGATGATCTTTGTGATGTTCTCGATAATGATGGTGATGAGGATGTTGTTAGCAGCAATACAGCTTCATTTCAGTAATTTTTTCTATATTTTTTGATATTTACATTTTTTTCTTACATTTTAGATCAGAGCCAGTTGTACTTGGAGAGCATTCAATGCCGTCTCTTTTGCACTCTTCCTCTGTTGATAATCAAAAGACTGTCGTCCATTTGTCTAATGAACAAATAAATGCTGAACCAACAACGATACATTTATCATGTGATGATTTGCCGCCACCGGAGCCGCCTGTTGATTATGATGTTGAGGATAATATAATTCGTGAAAAGTTACAAAAGGAAGCATCAAAAGGTTGGGTATAAAATTTTATTTTTTAATAAAATTATTTTTCTAGTTACACCTGAAAGAATCACCAAAACCGACGACAAACGAAAGAGATCTGGAAGTGTTAATGCTGAAAATATTTCTGCGGCTACAAATGGGGGTGGATATTTAAATCAACGTCATTCTCATCCTGTTGCTGAGAATTTATTGCAAAAACAAAATGTTCGTTCGTCTCCACCTTTGCCTGCTAAAGAACAAGTTGTACATCCTTCTGTACCTTCAACAACATCGAATTTAATAGAAAAATCGGTTAATCTGTTGTTTTACAATTTTTATCATAACTTTTAGAATCAAATCCATCGACCTCAGCAGCACAAAGAGCGACAACCATCTGTTCATGTTCCAATGCGCAAATCACCTCATCGTGCTACCGTTTGACTTTATTAAAATTTGTCACCTATTTATTAATATTTAAGGTCACTAAAAGAACACGTACTTATGTTGTTGATGGAGTCGAAGTTACAAGCACAACTATGCATGTTTTGGGTGAAAAACAGGATCTCGAACTGAGAAAAAAAGAGTTGAGAGATTTGAAGCGAATACAAAGAGAAGAGGCACGACAACAGCAAGAACTTAATGCGAGAGCTGAACAAATACGTGAGCAACAAGAAAGGAAGTTTGCTTTTGAAATGCAGGTTGTCCTTTGTTTTATTTCTGGCATGTTTATTTTAACCTCACTTTCCAGGCAATACAAAAATCTTATGAAAATGAAGTCGAAGCAATATCTAAGGCGCAAAAAAAGAAAATGGAAGAACAAGAAAAACAACAAGAAGAGGAGATGCGTAATTTGGCTAAACGGATTAGAATTGATCAGGTTCATTATTTTTTGCTTTAAAAGAAGATTTTTTTCTTCAGGAAAGAGATTTGAGACTATTTCGTGATAGATTGAGACAACAAGAAAAGATTTTAAAACAAGAAGTTGGAATGCTTCCAAAATCTCAACGTAAGCCTGTAATGAAGCAGAGACAAGAGAGTTTCGAGAAATATCAAATTGATAAGGTTTTTTTATTAATTTTGCTTTAAAAAATATTTTTTGTAGGAAGCAGAATTCATGAATCAACTGGAACGCAATAAAGAAAACTTTTTACAAAAAGCTCAGGATCGTCATCGTGAAAGGCTTTGTCTGTTAGAACGGCAATTTTTGGAGCAAAAACACCAATTAGAGAGAGGATTAGAAACTGCTCAATGGGAGTTGGAAGAAGCTCAGTTGGCGGAGAAACATGCCTTATTGACACAACAATTTAGAGTATTTTTATTTTAATTATTAAATTGCTACATATTAAACTTCTTTTTCAGGATGTTTTTCATTTGCAAAGGACTCATATGCTTGCCAGGTATTCTTTTGTTGTGCTAATAATTGGTTCCACTTTTTACCTTTTTTAGACACGCAAAAGAGGGAGAACACGTAAGACGCATCAATCAAGCAAATGAAGAAAATATGTTACGTGCATTGACAATCGATAGGAAAGCATTACCTAAAGTTTTAAGAAATGAAAGTAAAACGCGAACAATGATGTTTAGAAAAAGTTTGGAAGTTGACTTACCGGTGAGTTTTTTATATTTTATATTATTTTATATTCAAATGACTTCAAACATTTTAGGGTGAAAGCTCAGAGACATGGACAGCAAAAATAAAAATTTTTGAAGAAAAAGAAAAGCAAAGAATCCGTTTAAAAATGGATGAATATGATTTGAAATGTAAAAGAAAGTTGGCACAATTAGTTGAAAACAATCAAAATGTACTTCGAGAATTAGAAGAAATTCATGTTTGTTTTATAATTTTGAAATGACTTTTCAATTTATTTTCTATAGAATGAGAAGCGTAATATGCTTTTGGATAATGAACGAGCAAAACTTGCTGAATATGAAAAAGAATATCAACAAGTTTTATCTGAATGGAAATCTAATTTGTCTTCTAGGAAAGCTGTAACTTCTTTCATTTTTTACTTTTTTATCTTTTCTTTTAAGGCTTTGGAAGCAAAATTTAGTGAAGAATTGGCAACTCAAGAACGTTTTTATAGGTTTTATTTTAATAATTTTTTTTCGATTTTTTAAACAAATATTTTAATAGTTCTGAAATGACTGTTAATTCTGGAGTTAGCTCTTCTTCTTCGTCTTCTTCTTGCGCACAAGCAAGATCTTCCTATAATGTTTTTGGGCTGGATCAGCATCTTTAATGTAGTTGAGGTTTTATTTGTTATAAATACTTATATATACAGTTGAACCTTTAAAAAGTTTTGTTTTTTCAATACCTCTTTCAAAATGAATTTATTTTTTTCACAGGTTCTTCTGTGTATATCTTTTACTATTTTTGAACCTATATTTTAACTATATTTATTTTCTTGCCCATTCAACTTGGTTATTTCACTTTGAGTAAAAAAATTTTTTGTCCTTATTTTATTGTACCTTTATATTTATTTATTGGTTTAAACAAAAAAATTTATCTATTCTATTTAAACTGCCAAAATAAACCAATAATTTAAAATTTTTTCAAAGCATTTAATTTAATCTTTAAAGGATATAATTCAGTTTATTTAAAAATGCTTTGAAAAAAATCCAAATTTTTTTCACTTTATCAATTTTAAAAGTCTTTTTAAAAATGCGCAAATGGAAGGAATAAGCACTTGAGACTATAATTTAAAATTTTTATTTTATATATCTATTTAAAAATAAAAATGAAATTTTTTTTTATTTTTATTTTTTTACATTTATTTTTCGATTAAATAATTATATTTGATTTTTATACTGCTACAAATTTTAGAATTTTTAGTTTTTTTTTACTTAAAATGAAGATGAACTACACATCTTGCCCTGTATTTGTTCGAAATGATTTGGGCGAAGAAATTGATGTATTTGGACTTATGAATTTGGTTTTTATTTTATTTTATAATAAAATAATTTAACTTATTTTTACAGTCAAAATCTGGGAAAGAACCTTTGTTGTTGTCTTTTAGCAGATTTGCTGATTTTTCTGATGGATTTGATTTGGAATTTTTTCGAACTTTTCATTTTAGGTATTTTAATTTATTTTAATTATTTTACGAGAAATAGTGTTTATTTATAGGTATTACAATGAATCTCTATTGAATCAAATAAAAAATTTGGATGTAAGATGTGTTTATGAAGCTATTGATTTTAGGGGAGAGCAAAGCGTTTTGAACTTGTGTAATATTGATGATTTAAGGTGTGTTTAAAATTACTTTTTGTTATCTGATTCTGTGGTTTACTAGGTTGGTTCTAGGTTCCCTAACTGTCGAATTGTTGGTTCGACCGAGATTTTATCTGATTTATTATTTTAATTTTTATTATTTTAGTGGTATAATCCGTCATAATGGTAATCAATTTATATTTGGCCATTTGAATGAAAAATTATATTTTTTGCGAGATTCTCCAAATTGTGGTTTCTTTTCTTGTTTTTTCTCATATTAATTATTTTCAGAATGGCATGTTAGAAATAGAAGATCTGGTGAAATTTCCTTAACAAAGCGAATGCCTACATATTATTCTGAATATACCGATGGAATTAAGAGATGGGTTGAATTAATTGTTATTGCTGACAATTCAATTGTAAGAATAATTTTAAGAATTTTTTAAAATAAATAATATTTTAGTACAAAAAATATGGAGAGGACAAGAAGAGAATTACTGAAAGGCTTCATGCAATTGCTAGTTCTGTTAATTCGGTTTTATTTTAATTTAAATTTGTGAATCATTTTTTTAAATTTGTAGTTTTATGCTCCATTAAATATTCGAGTGATACTTACTTGGGCTGACATTTGGGAGGACAAAAATGCTGTAGATGTGACAGAGAATGCTGATGGAACTTTAAGGGATTTTCTTGGTTTTCGTAGATCCTTATTGGCTAAAGGACATTCAAATGATAATGCACAGCTTTTAACGTTTGATTTAAAAAATAAAAATCTTTTATTTATAATTTTATTTAAGTGATGTTCATTTTGGTTCTGTAATTGGAAAAGCTTACAAGGCAACCAATCTTTAAAAAAATTTTATTTTTTCTTTTAAGGGGACTATGTGTTCTTTTGACTACTCTGGGGGTGTTATTGTTGATCACTCTGACAATCCAGTATTTGTGGGAATGACTGTAGCACACGAAATGGGCCATAACTTTGGGTAAACTTTTAAAATTAATTTTTGTATTATTTTTATTTTAAGAATGGATCACGACATTAGTCCTACATGTAAATGCCCAGTCGATTCTTGTATTATGGCTCCTTCGAGTAGCAGGTTATTTAAAATAATTTGACTAAAATTCTCCTTATTTATAGTGTCAACGCTTCTTCCTACTTTTCTGATTGTTCTTTGGATACATTGTCTTCTGCTCTTCGTCGTGGCGTTGATTATTGTCTTCATAATGTGCCTAAAGTTGCATTTGGTGGTGCTAAATGTGGAAATGGTGTGTTAGAAGATGGTGAAGATTGTGATTGTGGAAGTACTACAACTTGCCCAAATTCTTGTTGTATTGCAGCTGAATGTAAATTAGCGCCTGAAGCAGAATGTGCTGAAGGAGATTGTTGCGATTTGAATGTCTGTAAATTAAAGTTTGTTTTTTTATAATTAAAAATTAATTTTAATGTTAAAAATTTGTAGAAAAATGGCTAGCGAATGCCGAAGTGCTTTAAATAGTTGTGATCTACCTGAATATTGTGATGGAAAAAATCCTAGCTGTCCGGCAGACTTTTTTGTACAAGATGGTCATCCATGTCCAGATGGAGCATTAGAGGTTTTTTCTTCTCAAATATTTTTTTAATTAATTTTTATTTTTTTCTTTAAGGCTTTTTGTTATCAAGGAACATGTGGCAGGTACTTAAATATTTTTTTCGTAATTTTTTAACTTTATTTTTAAGCCGGAAACAACAATGTCAATTCTTATGGGGCCCTTCTGCTGATGATTCTGTGAAGGATTGTTATTCCTTTAATGAACAAGGTGCTTTTAGTGGAAATTGTGGTTATCGTCAAGATACTGACCAATATCTTCGTTGTGGACCAAAGTATTTTTTTGAATTTTTTTTGGAAAAGTTTTCTTTCTTTTTAGTGATATAACTTGTGGAAGACTTCAATGTAATCATGAAAGTGATAAACCTGTATTTGGTGATCCTTCAACAATATATTCTGCATATAGTTTTGTTCGGACAAAATCTGGTAAAGATGAAACTTGTCGAGTTGTAAGAACAACAATAGCTGGAACTGGAGGAAAAAGGAAAGCAGATCCGGGAATGGTTCCAGATGGTGCTCAATGTGGAAATAATAAAGTATAAAATAAATTTTTTAATTTTTTAAAAATAATTTTTAGATTTGTGTTAATGCTGCCTGCCATAATAAAACAGCAATTTTGGAAATGGTTAGCCGTTGTGACCCAGAAGATTGTAATTCTCGTGGAATTTGTAATAATGTTGGAAATTGTCATTGTGTTAGTGGTTATGGAGGTTTATTTTATTAAAAAAAATTTTTTTGAATAATCTTTTTAGGTGTTGCTTGTGATTTACCTGGTTTTGGTGGATCTGTTAATAGCGGTAAATAACTTCCAACAAAAATTATTTAATGTTTTTTTACTTTTAAGGACCAGCTAGCACAAATGCTTTTAATCCTGCCATGACATTTCTCTACTTATTTTCCTTTGCTTTTATATTTTTTGTGATTGCTTCAGTTTATTTCAAAAGGAAGCGAGGTTTTTGGTTACATAAAAGGTTTCTTTTTAAATATTTTTATTTATAACAATCAATCTTTTTAAAGAATTTGGTCAAAATTGCGTGTTCTACTCGAACTTCGAAGTTTCAATTTAATTCCAGTTCGAAGAGCACCAGCTAGGCCAGATGCTCATTTAAGACAAGAAGAACTTCGTCGACAAAGTTTTAATGCTATTTGGAATGATAATGGTGGAGTAACAACAGTGAGAGGTGAAGTTCTTCATGTTGATGCTTCTCGTCCACATCCTTTTGGTTTTTCATCATTATCAAATTTTTCTCAACAAAATATAGCTCCAATTTCTGGCGCAAAGCTCCCAAAAATTGAAGCAACAACTAAACAATCTGTGAATCAAAATATTTCAAAAACAACACAGAAACAACAGAAAATCATTCAAGAACAAAAGGCTTTAGTCAAAACAGAAGGTTATGATACTGGAAAATCATCATCATCAACAGGTTCTGATGAGCCACCTCCTATTCCACCACATCGAAATGCCACAAATACATCTACTAATATATCAAAAATTGATGTGAAATCTCTTGCAGCAAAATTTGAAAGGAGATGATTATACATAGTTTATCAAAAACTTGAACGGTGATATTATTTTTGTATTTTACATGAAATTATTCTTGTCATTCTTTTTTTTTGAAAATTTTCTTTTAAAGAAATCTATTGAAATTTTAACTGCTTTTATTAAATTTTTGTTTCTATCTGTCTATTTAGTGGTCGGTTAGAGCCTTGTACACATTATTTACATATTATTCTTCATCAATTTACATTTAAACTCTCTGAATCAGCGACCCTGAATTGCGAATCAGCGACCCTGAATTGGCTTCTTTTAATCGGCGACTTTGAATCGTCCCTTACCCCCCAAAACGGCGCCGACCATAACGGCGCAAAGCCATAACTTGCTTCTAAATTTCCGAATCTCGATAATTTTAGTATTGAACGATTCAACTCATCGAGCTAAATATTTTGATACCAGAATTGATAAGGACCATAAGTTTTTCAGCAAGTTATGGCTTTGCGCCGTTTTGGCCGCGCGCCGTTTTGGGTCTTTCACCCGTTTTTCTCACATTCGAGAAATTTTTGTTTTTCAAATTTTATAATATTTATTTGTGTTTTTTTAAAAGGTCGCTTTACTTATAATTTTTATTTAAAAACGTGAATTTTTCTTTTTCGTTTAGCGTTTAGTTTTAAGCAAAATGGATAAAAATCCAATGTCTTCGCAATATGAAATTACTTTAGATTTATGGAAGCAAGAACGGGAAAAGAATAAGAAATTGTTAGAAGAAAATCAAGCGATGAAATTGTCAATGTCCAAATTACAAGAAATGGAACAATTAAAGCTCGCAAAAGAAGAAAATAAGAAGATGAAAGCAAGAATGGATTTAATGCAGAAAAAATATCAAGAAAAATTGAAAGAATTACATGAAAAATTGAAAGATTTACATGAAAATCCACTATCTTCGGAGCTTGTTACAAACTACAGAAGAGTATCAAATTTATTCGAGCTAGAAAAAGACAAAGCCAAGAAACTGGAAGAAGAAAAAGAAGCGATGAAATCGTCACTGCCTCACTTATATCAATTTCAACTTGAAGCAAAGCGAGAAAAAGAAGAGAATAAGCAATTGAAAGCAGAAATGAATACAATGAAGATTAAATTAGACCAATTACAATCTTTGGTTGATTGGCAAGATCGACGTGAGATGTATGGACTTGAAATATTTCAACCGAAAATACATCAACTTCCCGATAGGAATATGGAAATGGAGGTTTTGTTTATTCTTTTTTAGATATTTTTGACTGTAGAATGAGTTGTTTCCATCCCCCTCTCTTCCCTCCCTCAAATTTCTATTTGGGTGAGGGCTTTCTTAGGGCTTTTCTGACCAATAAGATAGCCTAGCTCTGAGGTGCCTTTAGTTTTATTGGTGAAAATACGGTTTGGGTGAAATGTGCGGACTGCGGACACGGGGTGAGAAAACCAACTTTTTATAGGTGTTTAAGCCATCCCTCGTCTAGCATAAGTGTTGTAAGGATTTATTAATTGAACTGAAAATAAATAAATATATTCTATGTTTTTAAGGAGGACTCGTTTATGCTTGAACCGTTAAACGATTCTGTGGTCAAGTTACAAGAAGAACAACCCAAATTACAACAAGAACAACCTCGCAAAGTCTCGACGTTTAGCTTGTTATTTGATGGGAGTCCCGAAGATCTGGCAGAGCCAGAAGTCTTTAGAATGCGTGATAAGGTTTATTTTTTGTAATATATTAACTTATTAATTAATATATTTTTGCAGAAGAAAGTTGTTGATGAACACATTGTTGAAGAACGCCTCATCAAAAAAGTTCGATTTGTAGACGAAAAAGAACAAAAGGAAAAAGAAGTTTCAACAACAACAAAAGAAAAAGAAGGAAATGCTAAAGAAAAGGAGTCTATTCCTGTTAACAAGCCTCTACAAAAAGAATTGAACATGCCATCAAAAGTTCCAGCAGCTCCAATAATTACAATAAGTAGTCCTTTGGAGCAGCAAAACATCTCAACGACAAAAGAAGCAAAAGAACGAGGCAGAACTGATATTAAGATTAAGGTTATTAAATTAATCTGCTACCACCTTATTTTTGATTTTATCTTTTAAGCCTGCTAATCAACAAAGCGACAAAAATGATGATGGGGAAAATCGAAAGGAGAAGCCAAAGGTTAATATTTTGTTTATTGGG